AAGGTGCTGGGTGTGGAGTGGTGCTGGGTGTGGAAGGTGCTGGGTGTGGAAGGTGCTGGGTGGGAAGGTGCTGGGTGTGGAGTGATGCTGGATGTGGAAGGTGCTGGGTGTGGAAGGTGCTGGGTGTGGAGAGGTGCTGGGTGTGGAAGGTGCTGGGTGTGGAAGGTGCTGGGTGTGGAAGGTGCTGGGTGTGGAGTGATGCTGGATGTGGAAGGTGCTGGGTGTGGAAGGTGCTGGGTGTGGAAGGTGCTGGGTGGGAAGGTGCTGGGTGTGGAGTGATGCTGGATGTGGAAGGTGTTGGGTGTGGAAGGTGCTGGGTGTGGAAGGTGCTGGAGTATGGAGAGGTGCGGGCGTGTCCTGGCCGAGGGGCGGTTCTCGGAGGCGAGCCCCTGACAACATCACCCCGTGTGTTGGCTGCTAGATCTCAGGGAGCCCCTGGCGTCATGGAGGCTTCTTCCCTGGGCGTCTGGAGAGCACCAGTCCAGATGCCATGCTGCCCGCTGAGAGAGGACACCCTTGTTTTGAACTGGACGGAACCTGAGCCACAAGTCAGGCTGCTTGGCAGCTCGGGTGGCTTTGATTCGCTGCCCCTGTCACAGGCTCCTGCTGCGGAAGAGTTTAAAACCTGGGCTGGGAGCCTTGACATGGGGATAGCAGGGAAGGGGGGGATGAGCGAGGGGACAGGGAGGTGGGAGCGGCAGCGAGCACTCATTGGAGGAAGGAGAGTGGGGTGGGTGCTGAGGGGCCTCTCCTGCTGTCCCCCTGGGGTGGACCGGAGCAGGGGTGGCTTTCTGCAGCCTCTCTCTGCCTGCGCCCTCCATGCCCTCTTGAGGCTGCAGCCCTGGAGCTGGGGGAGGGAGAGGAACCCCCCGCCTGACCCCTGCACTCGCAGCTGAGAGATGCCCTGGCCTGGGCAGAGGTGAGCTGGGCTCCTGCTGTGTCCGCCCACCGGCCCGCAACCCACCCTCTCGCACAGCCGCCTGGCTGGTCCTGCGGCAGGAGTGGGCCAGGCTCTGGGGCTGGCTGTGCTGTGTGATCTGAGGGATGGAGGGGCCGCAGCCCCCTGAAGGCAGCACTGAGGGGCCAGGGAAGGCCCTGCAGGGGCTCAGCCACCCTCTGGCGAGAAGAGCATCATTCTGTCTTGGTTACCTGCTAGGTGGAGTGGGGGGACAGAGGGGCAGTGGGGGACTAGCAGGTGGTCAGGGGCGGGGCTCACAGGCCCCAGGTCCTGGCCACCATTCTGTGGCCCACCCTGTCTGAACCCTTCCTTATCTGTCACACTGAGGTGACAAAGTCACTTGAGTGGACGGCACTTGGTGCTCTGGGCTCCAGGCCGACCTCAATGAGCGACGTCTCCCTCTTCTGCAAGGCTGAGGCTTCAGCAGTTGCCAAGGGCTGCAGCCGGGCTTGGCGCAGTGGCACTGAGGAGGCAGGGTCCCCCTGCGCGCGTGCTGGAGGCAGAGTGGGAGTGGCCTGCGTGCGCTGCTCTGCAGACTCAGGCCTGGCGGGGGTTCTGGGCTCCCCACTCATCCAGCTGGGCTTTTCAGTCCCAAACTGGGGGCCAATGGTGTGGAACCAAAGCCCAGGGCTCAGGCAGGCTGGTCTCCTCTGCACCGTGGGACTGTCCCTCAGTTCTGCTGCAGAATCACCCCCTCTTCAGCTGTCTCTGGGCCAGTCTTCCTACCTGGTTTCTGGAAGCTGGGGGTGTGATGGATCTTGTCCCCCATGCACACCACCAGCACAGCACCAGCGCCCTGCTTCACGTACCCTGGGAGGCCAGCCAGGGACCCACACTGTGACTTCAGGTGACACATCCCTCCAGCATTGCCTTGGTCCCACCCGTGGGCCCTTCCTGCCTCTCTGCCTTCCAGTCTTGGCCTAAGGTCTAGCTCACAGAGAAAGGCTCACACTTCATCAAGTGAAAGGCAGGGCGGTGTGTCTTCTTGGTCAGGCCAGGGGTCAGCTGCTCTTCAGGTCAAGTTCACAGGTACCATGCTCTCTGGCTCTAGGTCTCAGAAGCCCAACAGTATGGGAGGGTGAGGTATTACAGGGGCACAAATCAAGTATGCAGCCCTAGGGAGAATGTGCTCACTGCAAGACGGTGGCTCTGGGTCAGGTCGTGTCCCCAGTGTGCGATAGATACAGTGGCCAGAACGTGGACACTCGGTAGCTTTTGAATGAATGGAAAGATGAACAAGTGGATGAACAGATGTGTGAAGGAATGGATGGTTGGATAGCATGGATGAATAGCATGAATGGGGTGGTTGGGTGGATGAATGTATGAATGATTGGATGAATGGCATGCTTGGATGGGTGGATGAATGGATGGATGAATGGCATGGGTGGATGGATGGATGGATGGCATGGATGGATGGATGGATGGATGGATGGCAAGGATAGGTGTAGGATGAATGGCAAGCATATGGATAGATGGGTGGATAGGTGGGTGGCATGCATGGATGGATGAGAAAGAGCTGGGAACTTCACCTGCAGTAATCAGAGTGGTGTGTCACCCTTTCCTCCTCTTCTTGGGTGCTGAGAGCTGTTTCCTGGTGAGTCCCCTCTGCGCCCCTCTCTGTGGCCCCATGACCTTGCCCCTAACCCTTGCACATGCACCTGCTCCTTGCCTCTCTTTCAGAAGTGTTGTCCTGGGGCCCTGGTCTCCCTGTCACCCATATGCCTGCTGTTGTGTCCCCACTCCTCATCTTGCCGGGTGCTCTCACTGCCTGTCAGTGACTCCAAACCCTACTGTCCCTTAGGGCTTTTCTTGAGCACACAGCCCCACTGATCCCTGAATCTTGTATATTGTTTGTTGAGCCCCTTCTGTGCATAGGGAGTTGCCTGGAGTACTCGCAGGTATTATTTTTATGGTTATTTAGGGCTCAGAGAGGTGAGCAGGCAGCCCTGGCCACACACCCAGGAGGCAGCGGAGCTGGCAAGTCGTAGCCTGTCTGGCTATATCTATATGCTCTTTGTCCCTGTTCCCTGTGGGTGGGATTCCCTTGCCCCTGCGGCCCCCACTCCTGCTCTGAGCTGGGAGTAGTGCCCGGGCAGCACAGCTGTCCTGCTCTGGCAGACCTCAAGGAGGAGGGCAGCCCTCAAGATGAGATGGGGTGTGCCTGCAGAGCTCCCAGCCACGAGTGTCCCCAGCCCAGCCCAGGCCCCTAGATGACTTGCCAGTATCAGAGGTACACAGTACCAACTCCCCCCAGAGCCCCAGGATGCAAGCGGGAGAGCATCCATCTTCCTGGTAGAGGCAGGGGTTGCTGGGTGCACAGCCTGGAAAGGGGCCTGGGCAGCTGGGGAGGTGGTACCCGAGCCAGGTAGAGCAAGGGCTCGAGATAAACCTAGAGAATATGGTGCCTTCAGATGCGGGCTGGGCTCCCTGGCCTGGCAGCAGCCCTGGGAGAGGGTTTCACGGCAGATTCAGGGTCTGTCCTTAACTGCTGGGCGTGATGTGTTCTAGAAAAGTGTGTGATAGTGGCAGCATGGAGAGATGGCTCTGGAGTCAGAGAACTCCTCACCCCCGCAGCCCGTCACCCTTGCCTGTGGCTCCGTCTCCAACCATATGACTCCAGCATCCCAGCATGTCCTCGAGCCCTGTGGGTGGGCAGTTGTCAGAACCTTGGCAGACACCTTGAACTGACCATGGGCCGCTGGGCAGGGAGCCCTCGGGCCTTGGTCTCTTCAGCTGTAGAATGGGGATTAATAGGACAGAGCTCAGAAAGTTCTTGTGGGCACGGCCAGGAGGCCTACAGGGCCTTCACCCATGCCTGACCGTGCTGAGCTGCCCTAAATCATAGTCCCTGCCATGAGCAAACTCACTGCTGTGCCCCGTGCACCGGGCCCACAACCCTGGGGTCCTCAGGGCCCTGCTTTTCCTTCCTTGTGCTCTGTGTTGTCCACGTCTTGGTGAGGGGAGGTGGAGAATCTGCATCAGCTCAGAGACAGTGCTGCAGCAGGGCCTCCCCAGAAAGCTCAGTGGTTGGCTGGGTGGCCCTGGTCTTGTTTCCTCTTGACGTCTAAGTAGCATTCCCTATGTGTAGGCTGTACACATAGAGCATAGTGGACTCCATCCGTCCACTCCTCTGGGATGGACATTGGCCTGCTTACACTTTGGGGCTACTGTGAGCCCTGCTGTGGATGTGTATATACATGTGTTTGAGTCTCTGTTTTCATTTTTTGAAGGTGAACTGATTAGGGTCAGTTGTTTGTGTTCCTAGGTTGGGATTGCTGGGTCCTGTGGCAATCCTGGGTAACTTAGTGAGAAACCTCTCTAACCCTGACCCCCAGTGTTTGAGGGGACGGTGAAGGAGGCAGGAGAGCTCCAATCCATCACAACCCAGGTGGAGGCATTTGCAGAACCACTGTAGCTCTGAGCACTGGTCTGGCACCTTGTAGGTGCTCAACATGTGTTTGATGGGTGGGTGGCTGGGTGAATGGAGGCAGGTAGATATGTGGATGGATGCAGGAACAAATGGGTGGATGGATGCATGGTATGCATGGATGAATGGATGGATAAATAGGTGGATGGGTAGATGGATGGATGAATGCATGGGTGGTTGGGTGGATGGGGTGGATGGACAGATGGGTGGAAGAATGAGGGATGGATAGGTAGATGGGATAAGTGGATGGATGGATGGATGGAGGGAGGGAGGGAGGGATGTGCAGAAACATTCATGGTGGGTAGGTAGATAGATGATGGATTGGTGGATGGATGGGTAGATGAACAGCTGGACAGGTGGATGAGGTGGGTGGGTGGGTGGATGGATGGGTGGATGTGCAGATGCACGCATGGGTGGGTGGATGGGTGACTAGATGGGCCAGCCTAGCTCTAGCACCTCCCACACCCAGCACCTTCCTGGGAGAAGTCTGGCCCTGAGGACTGCTCTTGAGGTCTGGCCTGGGGTGCTCTCTGTCCCGGGGCACTGAGCTGGGTTTCCAGGGACCCCATGTGAGCACCCTATGCTCTCTGTTCATGCTTTTTTGTCCTTTCCTAGGGTGACATCCAGCAGCTGCTCTTCGTCTCAGACCACCGGGCAGCTTATGACTACTGTGAGCACTATAGCCCTGACTGTGACACCGCGGCCCCTGACACCCCGCAGTCGCAGGACCCTAACCCGGATGAATACGTGAGTCTGCTCTGGCTGGGTTCACGGTGGGGAGCGTGGGAAACCACCTGGGATGGGCCAGGGTCAGGCAAAGGGAGTTTGTGCAGGGGTGCAGAGCCACAGCCCCCATTTTAAACGAGCCCTCTGGGCTAGGGAGTGAGTGGCCAGGAGGTCACCTATGGCTGTCTTGACTCACCTGCCCTATAGTGCCTCCTGAATGATGGAGACACCTAGGGGCTGTCAGCAGCCCTGTCCTGTAACCTCCCATTAAGTCCCTAGATGGCTGCACCCAGGTGCCTCCTACCCTCCGTGGGTGGCCTCTGCAGCGGCCTGTTTGCAGAGCTGCCAGGAGCCCCTTGGGCTCAGACAGCTTGTGCTGGGGTGGTTCCCCGTAGAGTGCCTGGTCCTCTGAGGCCAGAGTGGCGGCCACTCTGTGCACAGCTCGTCCTGAGTGTTTTAGAGACATGCCTGGCACCTTTGCCCCTCTTACTGTGGCCCACTCTGGTCCTTGGTTGTCTCCTCACCCTGTCCCCTGCCCGCAGTGCCTGGCTGGTCGTACTGCAGTGCCTCTGGCACTTAGGGATGAACTCCCCGGTGACAAAGTCACGAGGTGTCCAGCTCTAGATTTCCCCTGGCCTCCCTTCTCTCACCACGTAGGGAGGCTTTCATGAAGCCAGGCCCATCACCCTTTGGCCAGTTGTCCTAGCTCTGGGCTCTACAGAGTCAGACCTTGTCACCTTTTAGGGTTCAACTTCCTCTGACTTTGCTCAAGGGGTTCTGGGGTCCCCCATTATCTCCCTTGGGCTTCTGGGGATGGCCCTGCTTCCCAAGAAGCTTCAGAGGGAAGAACCTCATCCAGGGAGCCCAGCCAGGTTCATGCCTGGGGCAGGCAGGGATTGTGTGTCGGGTGCTCCTGGGGAGCTCCTTCCTCACGTGGCTGCCCTCACCTGCAGTACCCGGACGGAGACGGGGACGGTGAGACCTATTACTATGAGTATCCCTACTACGAGGACCCCGAGGACCTGGGGAAGGAGCCCACCCCCACCAAGAGGCCTGTGGAAGCTGCCAGAGAGACCACGGAGATTCCTGAGGTCTGGGCTGGGCGGTCTGCACCGGGCCTGCTCTGGCCCTCACCCTGTGGCGCAGGGGAGGGTGGGCTGTGCCTGGCATGGAGACCTGGGTGGCTTGTGGAGGGCAGGGACTTGGGTGAGGGTGGCGGCTCAGCAGGGGTGGGCTGCCGTGCAACACTGTGCTTGGTGCTCATGGGGTCAGCTGTGACATGGGGAGACAGGGTGACTAGGAGAGCTGTCTTCTGGTGGGGCCAGACACTGGCTCCTGTCCCCACTGCGTCCACAGCTGTGTGGTCTTGGAGGCCTCGGGAGCCTCAGGCTCTCTGCTGACTGGTTGCAGGGCCTCCTCCCTGTGCCGTTGTCTCATCTGGCAGAGGGTGTGTGGGCAGAGGAGAGACCCCCACCTCGGGCACCAGCTCAGAGAGGGGTGTGTGGCATCCCCACCCAGCCCGTCAGTGAGGCCAGGGCCGGGAGGCATGTGGGTGGGCACTGTGCTTCTCTCCAGGAGAGGGCCCTGTCCTGCGTTGCTCCAAGAGTCTGGAATATTCTGCTGCTGTAAATGTTAGGATGTGGCTCCCCCTGCCCAGTGTGTGCTTGGCTGTTTCCAGTCACAGCAGTGCACTGGGACCGGAGGGCCTCTGCACCCAAGTCCACAGGCCTAGTTGGACCGTGGGTCCAGGCTGTGCCACTCACTCTCAAGCTGCAGTCACATCTGTACTGTGACTTGTGGGAAACCCCAGATCTGGCACCCTGATTCCCCTGTCTCTGCCCTTGGCTCCCAGGAGCTGACCACAGCCCCCACGGAAGCCCCCAGAGTGCCTGAGGCCAGCGACAGGGTGGGGAAGGAAGAAGACCCTGGCATCGGGGACTACGACTACGTGCCCATTGATGACTACTACACACCCTCCCCCTACGATGACATCAACTACGGCGAGGGTGTGGAGAACCCCGACCAGCCCACTGACCCCGACGCGGGGGCCGAGACCCCCACCAGCACCTCGGTCACCTCCAACTCCTCCAATGTAATTTCCTTCCTGCCCTGTTGGCTTGGTCCGGGGGACGGGGCAAGGGCTAGGCTGGGGGTCAGGAGCCCTGAGCTCAGCTCCTCTCTCTGCGTCCCACCTTGGGTGGCTCCTGTGTGCTGAAGCCCACCACACCTGGCTCTTGGGCCTGGGGCAGCCCCAGGGGGCCGCTGCTCTGTGTGCTCAGAGCCCCAACTAGCCAAGCTCAGCACGTCAGTGTTTCTTCTTCAGAATGGTAGAAGGGCTCTGGGCTCTCGGGGTCCAGAGCAGACCGAAGAGGAGATGCTGCCTGCAGAGAGGGCCCTTCCTGGGCCAGAGGTGGACTTGGTACAGGTCAGACTTTAAGGTTGGGCAGCACTGGTTGAGACAGTGGACCTTATGCTCAGGTGGACAGCCTGAAATCTCTGCCTGTGGCCTTGGAAATCTCTGCCTGGGACCTGGCCTCTTCTGAGCTCAGGATCCCCGTTGGCAACGTGTGGTGGCCAGTGCTCCCTCAGGGCTGCTGTGGTCCTCAGCTCAGGGAGGACCCTCGCCCAGCAGGCACAGGGCAAAGGCTCCAAATAGCTAGAGAGGACTTCAGTTTGACCCTCTCACGGAGCAGACCTCCCAGGCGAGGGGCACAGCTGGTGAGGGGCGCTGAGTCCTGGCTCTGCCTAGCTTGTGGCGTCCCCTTGGGCAGACTTGGGGGACAGTTTCCATGGTGAGTGGGAGGTGCATAGAGGGGCTCCCGGGGGCTGTAGGACTCCCAACTGGCTGGCCGCTGGCTCCAGGTGTTCTGCTGGTAGGGGCTGCTGGCCTGGGTCCAGGAAGCGGTCGTGGTGCCCGCTGTGTTGGCACAGTGCTTGCAGAGCAGAGCTGGGGAGCGTGGGGCGCCTTGTGGGGTGACTCCTCTCCGTCCTCTGCCCTGCAGCCAGCTCCGTCCCCGGGGCAGGAGAGGGATGACGTGGAGGGCGAGTTCACGGAGGAAACCATCAAGAACCTGGATGAGAACTACTATGACCCCTACTACGACCCTGATGCCAGCGTCTCCCCGTCGGAAGTCGGGCCAGGGATGCCGGCGAACCAGGACACTGTCTATGAAGGGGTGAGCGGCATGGGCAGCCACGGTGGGGCTGGCGCTGGGTGGGGCTGGCGCAGCGCCTCTCCCCAGCACAGGGAGGGCGCAGCACTGTCTCCAGACGAAGTCTATGGTGCGCTCGGGGCTCCTGGCCAGCTGAGCACGCCACGTGGCTCGCCCGACTTTGATGTCGCGAGGTCCTCTGTCAGCTTCGGACACGGCTGCCCTGCTGTGGGGCTGGGAGAGATGATCCAGCGCCCCTCGTTGCTGGGCCCGGGGCTGGTTAACTGGGCTCCTTTCTCCTTCTCTCTCCCTTCCCTCACCTGTGCTTTCTCCCCGCAGATTGGCGGACCTCGGGGCGAGAAGGGTCAGAAGGGAGAACCCGCCATCATCGAGCCAGTAAGGACTTCCTTCTTGTGTCTGAGTCGGGTGCCTGCTGCGCAGGCCTGTGGCGGGTTGTGTGGCGTGACCAGCTCTGCGGAGCTACACCTGTGTGCACAAGCGTCCCGGAGCTGCCGCCCCCCGCCCCCGTGGGCTCCATGCCTGACTCGTCACAGTCACCGGGTGGGGGATGTGCTGGCGCATGGATGGGCGGTGGGAGGTGCGTCTCTTGGTGCTTTCAGGTGTGAGGGAGCCTGAGCGTGTCTCTGCACCCATTCACCTGAGACACCTCAGGCCTCAAGAGGGGAGGAGCCCAAGGACAGGGAAGAGGATCATGGGAAGAGCACTGATTCCGCCCTAGAGATGTGGCGCGGCCATGCTGAGCTGCCGAGGGGGCTTTGCCTGCCCCCGCCTGTTGTGCACACACTGGGGCCAGTGTGTGAGACCCCGTGTCCAGGAATTAATTCGCACAGTGCGGGGCTGAAATCCCAGCTGAGTCAGACTCGCCGGGGGCAGGCAGTGGGCTCAGGTCAGCTAACAAAGTGCTCAGGATGTCTCAGCGTGGGAGGTGCCCAGGCCCTTTTCCATGCCCCTCCAGGGTCACTGGATTTGGTGGGTATCCTTGTCCCTTTGGGTATGGTGGCCTGGTTGGGGGTCCAGGGTTCACCCCCTGGTCTCAGAGCAGCCAGGGTCAACCCTTGACCCCTGGAGGGTAAAGAGCTGAGTGATGGGCAGAGCTGGTGCCCCTGCAGCTCAGGCAGTGGGTGTGGTCCAGGAGGATCTGGTTGCCGAGGTCCACTCCCACCATCTCATCCGGGTGCCCAGTGGAGGAGACTCATGGCCTTCAGAACTGTGGCTGGTGATGAGGCCTGGCTTGGCCGTCACCTCTGCAACCAGGGCTGCTTCCTAAGGGCTGAGCTCAGGACTGCTTGGGCTGCCTGGGGCGAGGAACAGCTTCAGGACACTCTGTCGTCTTGCAGAGTGGGGAAGGAACCTTGGCCAGTGGTGCCCATCAAGTCCTCGTGGCCCAGAATCTTCAAGCCCTGTGGCCAGGGCGGGCTGGACACGCCCCACCTATGAGTGGAACTCCGAGGGCAAGATGGGGCGGAGCTCTCCAGGCTTGGCCTCTTGCCTGTGTGTGAGACGCTTCTATGACTCCCATGGGGCTCTGCCCTCTCCCAGGCCCGTGCCAGGGGTGGCACCTGTCAGTTCCCGTGGGCCGAGTAAAGTTCACCATCCTCTACCCAGGAGGCTAGAGGGTCAGGGCATGCGGCCTGTGCAGGTGATGCTGACTCCAGGGAGTCCCTTGCTCTCAGTCCTGAGTCCCGGGGCAGGAAGAAGGGCCATCTGGGCAGGATGGTGGTGGTGATGGGCTGGGTGAGCTCATCCTTTGGAAAGTGGCTGGGCTTGTCCCAGGGCTCACCTGACCGAGGGGCCACAGCAGAACTATCCTGGTGGCTGGGCCCTGCTTACCTTCCTGGGGTGCTGGGCCTCTCTAAAGCCCCTCCACAGATGGGCTGGCTCTCAGATGGACTTGAGTGGACTTTGGGCTCCTTTCGTGGTATCCCGTTGCTTTGGGGAGAGGGAGATGCCTGAGGCTCTGCTGGCCTGGCTCTGCGTGGGGCTGGGCTCACACCTGTGGAAGGTTCGCGTCCACTTGAAAGGGTGGAGCCCTGTGCAGAGAGTGCTCTGCTGGCACTGCCGTGAGCAGGGTAGTCCGGAGGCCTGGCTGAGAAGGTAGAGCCCCAGCACACGCTGTCTCAGGGAGCCCACCTAGTCCTCACTGGGACAGAGCCAGCCACCTGAAGGCAGTTTAGGACCCCCACCAGCTGCGTTTGCTTTTTCCCAGCCCCCAGCCCCTCCGAGGGTCACAGGACCTTTGGCCAGTCCCCTGGAGAGATCGCGTAAACAGTTGGAATTTGTGAGCCGGGAGCAATGCCAGATGTCCTCAGAGTCTCAGCTGCACATAGACAAGTGGCAGTCCTGGGGTACCGCTGGGCACCCCCATTCCCGGGTAGGGCGGCTGGTGTGCCTCCTCTGGCACTGCCACCTGTGATCTGGAGATGAGGCTCACCGCACAGTGAGCTCACAGGCCGGGTCCGTGATGTGGGCACCTCGATGTGTGGACACCCCAAGCCATAGTCACGGTGACAGAACTGCCCGTCATCTTGGTCCTTTTCCTTTTCTCTCCCTCTCTGATGAGAGAGAGAGACTTTAGCTCTAGTGAGAACTTCTCCTTGACCCTAGTGACTCTGGGGCTGGTGGTGGGGAGGACGGTGGCCAGGGTGAGGACCCTGGGAAAGCTGGGCCTCCTTCGGCTGCGCTGTTGGCCAGCGTCCCCAACTTCCTTTCCATGCCGACCTGGAATGATCTGGGGGATTGGCCTCCATGAGATCTCGGCCCAGCATTGCCCCGTCCCCCAAGACCAGCAGCGGGTGTGTCTGGGAAGACAGCTGCAGTCCCCAGGGCTCTGCGGTGGCCAGTGGTGTCTCACTTAATCCCTGCTTGCTTTCTGAGTCCTGCATTGGTCAGAGAGACAGTGGGGCAGCTGGGCTCGTGCTGCTGTTTAGATGGACTCTGCGCACATTGCACACATAAATATTTCTCTGAGCGTGCATCTGTGTAAACACAGCGTGACTCTTCCCAGGCTCTGGGACCCTGGCGGGCAGGATGTGGGGGAGTGTCTCCAAAGCCCCCTGGCTGGTGTCTCTGCCAGGCTGGCACCACCTGTGGAGACCAGCCTGCTGCTGACTGAATGCTGAGCGAGCCCAGGGCTGACAGTGGGCCACACACTTTCAAGGACATCTGGGCACAGTCCCAGTTACCCCTACAGGGCAGCACTTCCTGTTTCCCTCTGGTCTAGGGGGCAGGAGGCAGGGGATCTGTTTCAGGGCCAAGACTCGGCCCTCTCACCAGTTCCTCTGGCCCTGAGAGGAGTAGCTCTTCTCCCTGCCCTGTCTGTGGCCAACACGGGCAGCCTGTGGGTGCAGCCAGCCCAGGGCCCACAGAACACATGTGACCCCAGGACTCCAGGGGCCAGCCCCTCTGCCCTTGCTGTGCAGACCCCTGCCGCAGGGAGGCCCTGTCCCTCCTGGGGAGGGGCTTGTCTCATCCCCTGAGGTGGGCTGGGACACAGGACATTCAGGGTAGGGGTCTTTGCTGCTGTTGCCAGGAAGTCAGGGAGGAATTGAGAGGGAAGCCTGGGAAGAGGGACTGGCCATGTGGGTCCCAGAGGAAGCCCCTCCCAGGTGGGCAAAGGGCTAGGAGGCCTGGCCTGTTTGGGGTGTGAGATGATGAGTCCTGGGGGCCGGAGGCTGGGCCTGGGCACAGGGCTGGGTGGTGAGTGGGCAGCTTGTGTCCAGGGGCCATGGCAGGGCTTGCTGTGTGCTCTGGGCTGCTGCTGGGTGTCTGGAAGAAGCGTCCCCTCTGCAGAGACACTAGGGGCTGTGGGCCTGGGGCCAGGCACTCTCCTGCTGGGCAGATGTCACACCAGGGCCTTGGCCACGGGGCCCATTCCCTTGTCTTCCCTGAGCCTACCTGGACCCTTGTCCTGTGCTCCTCTCCTCCCTCGGTGGTCTGGCCCAGCGGCTCTCCTGGGTGTCTTGGGAAGATGGCAGGAGACTGGGGACGGTCTGGGGCTTCCTCTCCTGCTAGCATCTTAGGTGAATCTCTAGAAGTTGAGCTTGGGGAGCTGGTCTCCTCCCAACTGCTGGTCAAGGCTCGTCCTTGTGCCTGGGAATGTGGGGACCATCATTCATTCCCAACTGCAGACACTGCTGCATGGCGAGATGGGGCTGGCTTCTGGTCAGCTGGGACCTCTGGTCACCTGGCCTGAGTCTAGCCTCTTGCCCGCCCAGCTGGGAGGCACCGTGCTGCGGGGTCCTGGTCTCAGCTGCACTCTCTCTGTCTCTGCAGGGCATGCTCATCGAGGGGCCGCCCGGCCCGGAAGGCCCTGCTGTGAGTGTCCCGTGTTACTTCCCGTGATTGGAGGTGGTGCTTCTGGGAGGGTGCCCCTTAAGTCCTCCGGCTGGAACAGTGGGGTGGCCCCTCTTCTGCAGTCCTTCCCAGCCTCCTCTGGCCTAGCTGCAGGGCGGGGGGCCTAGAATAAGTAGGCTGCATCTTTAACTCTGTCCTGGTTTTAATTCCAGGGACTCCCAGGACCTCCAGGAACCACGGGTCCCACTGGCCAAGTGGGTGACCCTGGAGAAAGGGTAAGGGGTCGGCTCAGTTTCCTGAGACCAGGTGCTCCTTGGGCCGTCTGTGTCCTGTCCTGGGCTGTCCTGTCCTCTCTGCTCCGCATCCTGTGTTGTTCCTCCTTGTGGAGGGAGATGGTCGACCTCGTAGTGGACCACCTTGTAGTGGACCATCAGATGGTGGACCCCTGCTTCAGACTACCCCTCGCCCCAGGCACACCTGATGCCACCCTCAGACTGTTTCCAGTCCCGCACTGGGTGGGCAGTACCTGAGGAGTAAGGCCAACCTGGGCCGGGGCTCCTGGGGAGATTCCAGCCCTGCGTTGGGCCGCACAGACAAGGGCAGGAGCCAGAGCTGGAGACCGTCCTTGCTCTGTGCCTCCCGGGGACCTGCAGTGTGTGGGAAGCTGCACCGTTCTCTCTAGCTGCTCCCCCCTTGCTCAAGCCTCAGGCTGGAGGGGGCCTGTCCTGGTGGGCACAGGCCTCACCCGCTTGCAAGTTTCTCCTGACACCCAGTGGCGCTCAGCAGTACTGCAGCCTGTGGCAGCCGTCTTTCCCTTTATTTTTCTTGTTTTCCCTGCGGATCTGGTGAATATCAGTGTTAAGGACAGTTGGATTAAGAGCTAGTAAGTGGACGGCCGAGTTGTAGATGAGAGAAACCAAGGGTGTTTGGGTGTTAATGGGTGGACATCTGTCCCAGGGTCGGCACTGCCTGGCTCAGAGTGAGGACCTGGTGGGTGATATTTGGGAGGGGTGGGGGTCTGAAATCACTGGCATATACACTGGCAAGTTCAAGTGGCCTGTGCACACCTTCCCAGTGACCCAGTGGTGCTAGTTCTTGCTGCTTTGACCCAAATCCCACCCCAGTGGAGTGCCTCTGCTGGCCCTGTGCTGGGACCAGGTCCCACCTGGGTGGGGCCTCTGCATTCGCCTCAGAGGTCACCCTGCAAGGCCTCTGGCGGCTGTCACATCCCCTCTGTGCACAGATGCCAGGACAAACAAAGGAAAGCCCCTGGTGGACACCAGTGATTTCTTAAGCCCTGCTCCTCATCCCCTGGGGAGGGGTGGCGGAGAGGTCCCTCCTGTGCCAGGGCTGTCGAACCTTATTTCCTGGCCATGTCTGGGCATCGGTTCAGGGCAGCTGATCAAGTATTAGAGAAAAACATATCCAGGCCTGGAGATGGCCAGGCAGTAGTTCTGATTGTGCCTTTGTCCCTGTGCTGGAGCTGAGGCCCATCCAGTGACTCTGTAGCAGACTGCTAGAGTGTCCCTTCAGTGTCTGACGTCAGCCATGTGACAGAATGAGAGTCACATTTCCAACCTGTGCCTAGTGTCAAGAGAATGGAAAGGTGGCTTTGAGAGCAGCCTTGTCCTGTCTCTCAGGGGACCAGGCTTTGTGTTGGAGACACAGTGCATGGCAGAGTTTGCTGGCTTGGGCACATGGCCGGAGGGTAGGGGGCAGCCCACCTGCCTTCCCTGGGCCTCCAGGGCTGCAGGCTGGTGAGATCTCTGCGGTGTGTAGTGGTGACCGTGGCCAGCAGGCAGTCTGATGCCATTGTGGGTCTCATCGCTGTTCTCTGGGTTGAAACTCGGTGGTCCACTGGGTAGCTTGAGGTTTCCATTTAGGAATAAGGTCACTACTTCCCACCTCTCGGACTCCCAGACATGAGCTGGTGTCGGTTGGCCTCCAGGTGGACCTTTGCAGGTGGCCAGTTGCTGTGTGTTTATTATTTTTGGTTAAAGCAGTGATCCGTCTCCTTGTCTGTGAATGGCTGGAGTCCACCCACGTGCTGGAGAGGGTGGGTTAAATCAATGCCGAGCCCACTATGTGCAGGAAGGAGGCAGAGACGCACACAGGCCGTGGTGTGCAGTGAGCAGAGAGAGGGATCCCAGGATCCTGGTGGACAGTCCTGCAGAAAGCCAAGAGAGCAGCCGAGTGGCTGGCCAGCTAGAGGGCACTTGGGGAGTGTTTCGTGTGGCCCCAGCTCTTTCTCTGGACACATATGTAATTTGGGGCTGGTGTTTCTGCAGGAGGCAGCGCCTCTCACTGCTATCCCCGTAGAGCCTGCAGCACAGCATTTCACAGGCAAATGGGCCACTTCTTAATGAAAGTCCAGAAGAGTTCCAGAGAATTCCACCTCGTCCAGATGGGTCCACGAGGACAGCTGAGGTCCCCTTAGCTCCCAGCTGGGAGTTGGCTTGTGCTTCTCCCTGGGGGCCCCTGGGGTGAACACACACCCCAGTGTTGCTGTGGCTGGTTCAGGAGATGGAACTGCACCTGGGGATGCCAGGGATGGACCACTGGGGTCCTTCCTGGGTAGGGCAGCTAAACACCATCTGGATGCAAAGCAGGCCTCACACCCCCGCTGGGCAGAAGTCGCCCCATGTGTGGAAGAGCTGCCTGAGAGGGCGGTGACTTGCCAGTCTATGTCCTGGGAGCCTCACACTCATGCAGTCTCGAGGCTGGCTAGAAGCCCTCTGGAGGGTCCAGTCCTGGGGCGGGCTGTCTGGTCCCCCTCGGAGACCAGGACAGCCATTTGCGGAGGTGCAGCTCCTGAATGCACGGGTGCCTTTGAGCCGGCTTTGCCTTCCCGAGGACGTCCTGCTGTTGATGCCCTTCTCATGGGCTGCCCAGCGAGGGCATGCTCCGCCGCCTGCCTTCCACAGCTGTCCATTTCTGTGCACGTGGCGATGCAGAGGGTGCTCTGAGTGACAGAAGCCCCTTCCCTGCCCAGCTCCAGCTGCAGTCCTCCCCGTTTCCTCCTTGAATTCCTCCAGGCCCACCTCAGCCCTCCAGCCTGCGGCCTTTGCTGATCTCAACCCACTGTCATGCCTCTCCCTTCTCTGGGCTGGGTCTCTGGAACATTCTGTGCTGGGCCCTTGCATTCCCTGTGCTTGTCCCGCGTTGTTCGGGTGGGTGGGTCTTCTGATCCCTCAACCTGGCTGCAGTGGGTGGACTCTGATCGGCCCCCCCACTCCCTATCTGCAGGGTCCCCCTGGACGTCCTGGTCTTCCTGGGGCCGATGGCCTGCCTGGTCCTCCGGGGACCATGCTCATGCTACCTGTGAGTATCCCTGTTTGTGGGTGCGCAGCAGGTGGGCCCTGGGAGGGGGAGGGAGGCAGGGTGCTGTGCTGCTCAGGGGCCGGAGGGCGGGTCAGGCCTCTCCCTGGGACCTCCTGATCCCCTGCTGCAGAACCAGCCTGGGCCCAGGGGGACACACAAGGCCCAGCAGCGGCCTTCCCTGCTGCTGCCAGCGTTGGGGCCTTTGCAGTAGCTACAAGGGGACCATCAAGGGAAGGGCTTGTGACCCTGACTCCTGAGTAACCTCTGGAGAGCAAGCCGAGGACCCTGAGGAGATGCCTTGGGGTGGAGCTCTGGCCACAGTGACCAAGGGAGGTGGGGCTGGGCTGCCCACCTGAAGGAGCCCCTCGGCCTCCTGGTTGGCCCCTGATGTCCCTCAGGCCTGACAGTGTGGGCCTCGGGACAGGCTCACGTGGCGGAGGGGAGGACTTGCCCATGTTGAAGAATGTGATATTGGGTTCTCAGGCCCTTCTCCAGGGGTCTCTGGAAGAAGGACCATCTCTGTTTAGCCCCAAATGCCTGTCACACGTGGGGAGACCCAGTGGGGCCAGGGGTCCTCTCTCGGCCCGCTGGGCTGGGCCCTGTTCATTGTGCCTTTGGCTTTCCTTGCAGCAGCTAGGGGCTCTAGGTGCCAGGGTGAGAAGCTGCCCAGGCCAGAATGGGTGTGGTAGATGCAGGGAGGGTCTGGAGTGTCCCTGGGGCTGAAGTGGCAGGTTTGGCAGGGTGTGGAGCAGAGCTGGGTTTGGGAAGGGTTTGGGGCTAGATGCCAATCCCGGGCCTCCAGGCCTCCATGTCACCTGAGAGGCCCCTGGCCGCCTCCTGGGCTCCGGGTCCAGCAGGGGTGCTGCAATCGTGCACCCGGGTAACCCGTCTTTGAACTCCTGCAGTTCCGGTTTGGAGGAGGAGGTGATGCGGGCTCCAAAGGCCCCATGGTCTCGGCTCAGGAGTCCCAAGCCCAGGCCATTCTCCAGCAGGCCAGGGTGAGTATTCTCCATTCTCCAGCTGCGGGCTGGTGAGATCTCTGCGGTGTGTAGTGGTGACCGTGGCCAGCAGGCAGTCTGATGCCGTTGTGGGTCTCATCGCTATTCTCTGGGTTGAAACTCGGTGGTCCACTGGGTAGCTTGAGGTTTCCATTTAGGAAGCTCCGGGTGCCTGTGAAGGGGACAGCCTGGCCCGCAGGGTGGAAGCACTGGGTGACTGGATAGAGCCTCTGCTCTTGCCCGTTCACAGCCCTGGGTGGGCCTGGTTCCCCATGTTCAGCTGGGGAACTCCAGGGAGGTTTCTCGGGGTTCCTTGTCTACGGCGAGGGTTGAGGGCCTCGGGGACCCTCCAGCTCATCTGACCCCGTGTGCCCATCTCCCTGTTTGCAGATGCGTGCCTGTGTGCCAGGCCCTCCCTGGGCTCTGGGAGTGGGAGAGAGACTTCACGGGGCTCTGGGCAGGGCCCTTGCTGGGGACATGCTTCCTGGCCTGTGCTTTGCGGGGAGCCCTTGGCCTAGGCCCTTTGCTTGGTCAGGTCCTGAGGAGCAGGGTCCGCCAGGAGCCTTGCCTGTCTTCGGGAGTTAGCTAGTTAGTGAACTGTGATTTTAGTGACTGTAGTTGCTGATGGCCTGTGACGGTAGGGAACACTGCCCCTTAGGGCAGGGTGGCCAGTGGAGGGAGTGTGCAGGGCAGCCCACATGGCCCCGATGGCACAGTGTTTATGTGGCTGCAGCTTGCTCCGCGGAGGCGGATGACCAGAGCACTCAGTGATCACAGGACTGTCTAAGCAGCCAGAGTTGCTGTGCAACAAATTGCCGAGTGTGCTCTTCAAGCCTGGCCAGCGTCACCTGGGGCTGGAGTTGGTGGCGTGGCCTGCTTGGCCGGCCTGTCCAACTGTGGGTCTAATTGAAGCCAAGTGGGCGATGGGCTTAGCAGGAGATTTTATAATGTAAAAAAACTTCCGGAATTAAAACCGTGTGTGTGGGACTCACGACCCTGCAGCAGAGGGGCACTTTGGCCAAGCAGGTTGACCTGTGCCGTGGCAGGTGGGAGCCACGCCGGGGGCCAGCAAGGGCAGAGAGCCCAGGTAGCCAGGCTCCCAGCTTCCCAAGAGCCTCCCAGCCGCTGGAGAGCACCTGGAGTGCCTCCGCGGGGAGTCGAGCCAGTGGGAGGGCCTCTCCTGCTTAGCCCAGAGAGGGAGGCCTCGAGGGGCCAGGGCTGAGACCAAGTCCCTGTCCTTCATGGTGGGCGCTGAGAGCCTTGAGGAGCAGGGACCTTGCCTGCCAGAGCCTCCGTCCTTCCCTGTCCCAGCTGTCCTTTCTGCCCTCGGCTCTTCCTCACCATGTCCCCTTCTCTTTGCAGCTGGCGTTGAGGGGACCCGCTGGCCCTATGGGTCTCACGGGGAGACCTGGTCCCATGGTGAGTGGCTGGCAGGGCGGGGGGTGGGCAGGAGCTGCATGGGGGCTCTGCCTGTGTCTCCGGGGAGATGGTGGGCAGCTGTGTAGTCATGTAGCATGGGTGACTCTCCAGCCAATGCCCTGTGGCCATGAGGGATGAGTGGCCTCTCGGTGCTGCTCCCCTAGGGTGGAGTAGTTGACTCCAAGGAGCCCTGGGTGCCTGGGAGCCCTGCGATTCCTGGAGACAGCCCTGCCCCCATCCCGGGTGGGAGTATCCCAGAGGAGCCCGTGTGGGGCAGAGCACAGCTCCGAGCTGCTCTCCCTCGTTCCCCTCAGCCGCCGTGGGTGGGGTGGGCGGACCCTTTGAGGGACAAGGGCCTGCTGGGCCAGGGCGCCAGGGCATCCTGAGGCCAAGCCTGCACTCCTGAGCTGCCCATGAACTGGCCTCAGTCTTCGGGGGCTCCCTCCTTCCCGAAGCCATCTCAGAGTCAGGGACACTGGTTTGGAACCTGGTCCTCTGCAGGGCCCTCTCAGCCCCAGATGAGCATGGCTCGTGTGCAGAGACACTCAGGGCTGGTCCGGGCTGGCCTCCCATGTCTAGACTCCAGCCTTGAACTGGCCCACGGGTGTGCACACTCCGCCCTGAGCTGGAGCCTGTAGGGAAGAGTCAGGTTCATCCTGGAGAGAGAACCCTCTCCGCGAGCTGCGTGGCTCCTGTGAGCCCAGCCCTGGAGCCGTTCAGCCTGGGAAGAGATCTGAACAGCTGCGGTTTCCGCGTCCGGGGGGTTGCTGTCCCCCCTAGTCGGCTGAGGCAGAGCGGCTGTGCGTGCTGCCCCTGGGACATGCCGTGCTGTCCACATGCTGTGTGGGCCCTGCCCTTCCCCTCCTGCCCCTCACCGCCGTGGTCCATGTGCCCCTCGTCTGAGCACGCACTGATCCTGAACTCTCTCCCTAGGGTCCTCCTGGGAGTGGAGGTTTGAAGGGCGAGCCCGGAGACATGGGGCCTCAGGTACGTGGGAACCTATCTCTGTTCCCAGGGGGGTACCCCTGGTTTGCTGCTAGTACCCCGATTGCCACACGAGTGGGACTTACCGTGTATTGACGCAGCATGAGCAGAAGCAGCTCTGACTTCTGTGGTGGCAGGCTGGCTTGTTGTCCCCAGCCCTCACTGGGGGTGTGACACCAGTGTCCTGTCCCTGAGCTGCTCACAGAAGCAGCTGGGACCGCAAACCTATACCTGGGTGATGAGCACAAGGATAGGCTTTGCTTTTCCCTCTGGAAAAACGTGGGCTTGCTGCTGACCCTTTGTCCTCTGATCCTGGCAGGGTCCCCGAGGTGTGCAGGGTCCACCTGGCCCGGCAGGGAAGCCTGGGAGACGGGTGAGTATTTGGTGCTGGTAGCATGTGGCTTGGGGACCTCAGCTTTGCCTCTGATGGAGCCCGCAGTGGGGTTGTCCCCTCGGTGCCTGAAGGAGTGGACCAGGCTCTGCTGCTGGGCTGGTCGTGCTGTCCACTTCCAGGCTGTACCTGCCGTGTCTGGGATGGAGGTAGCTCACCTGGCCCTGCAGCCCAGCTCTGTCCTGCGCACATTCATCTGCTTAATGAAGGCCATTTCCCAGCCTTGGGCAGCTGGGGTGCAACGAGCCACACTGGCCGGGGGCCTCATGTCTTGGGCAGCCTCTTGCTCTAAAAGTGGCCATGCTGTGGGGGAAGTGTCCAGGCCTGCTCAGGCCTTCCGCCTGCTAGTTTTTCCTCTCCTCCTGGGATTTTGTGTGGAGTGAAGTGGTCCTCAGGACCATGGCTACTGAAAGAGGGCACGTGGGCAAGCCGGGGAAATCCTCGCAGTCCCGTCAGGCTCACAGATGGACCTTGGTTCCTGTGCTGCCCGTGAGCGAGGGGATGCGAGTGGCGCCCTGAGGCCTGTGCTCTCCAAGGTGCTGGGGCTCCTGATGGCTGCCGTGGCTCCCAGCACACAAGGCGGACGAGGGTCGTCCCTGATGGTTGTGACCTCCTGGCTCCGGAGGGAGTTGTAGGTGGAAAGTGAAAAGTTGCTCCTGTGGCCTGGGGACAGTGGAGGGGGCCAGGCAGGAGGCAGGGCCGAGTGGAGGCCGGAGAAACGCCACCTCCTGTGCAGTTCTCTGGTTCTCCACGGACAGCCTGGCAGTTGCCTCAAGCCAGGTTCTGAAAGGTGCTGTGTCTCCTTAAAGGCTGGGAGGGGCGCGGGGGGCAAGAGCTGGCCGCAGGACTGGTTGCCGGCTGAGCCCTCCGCAGGGCCGTGGGTGTGTGCGGGTGTCTTCGGAGGCGCCTGAGCCTCAAGAGAAGAGAGGAGGTGGTGGCCAAGGGGCTCTGGGCTGGTGCCTGAAGGGCCTCTTGAGTCCTCTGCCAGCATGGCTCCTGGGGAGCATGTCCTTGTGGGTTGCAGAAGGTTCTGGACGTTTTTGTAGGGCAGTGTCATGCTGAGAAACCCTGAGAACTGTGAGGATGAGTTTCCCTTGGTTTCTAAAACTGTTTAGAAATTTCAGGGGAGGCTCTGACGGGCAGGGCGTCTGCCCGCGGGGCAGCCGCACCCGCTCCGGGCCTTTTGGGACGGGTCTCACCCTTGGGCAGCTCCTGGCTCCCTGTTCCCCTCCCTGAGACAGGGGCAGCGGTCTCCTTGGGGTCTGCTTGGCTCTCTCTCCTCTTCCCTCGGACACCACCTTTGCTGTCTGTGGCACTTGGAGACCCAAAGCTGCTGCTGTCCGGGTGATTTTTGATGGGCGGCGGCTGCCAGACCATGGCCCTGTTTGACCAAGGGCGCATGGGAAATGGAGAAGAGGGCCACTGCTGGGCTGGCGCCTTTGTGCCGAGCCAGCTGCTGTTCCTCGTTAGCGAGCGGAGCTTGGCAGAATTTACAAGGCTGGCTGAGCCCCTGGCCCCTGGGGCCTTTGTAGTGGACCCTGGAGGTCCAGGCCCTGCCCTTCAGCCCCGTGGCCAATCAGGTAGGCTCTGTGGGCTTGTCCATGGCTGGAGGTCATGATTTTAGGAGTGGCCAGCAGGGGCAGAGTGACTGTGCCTTGGGGTCGCTGTGTGGCCTGAGTGAGATGTGTCCCCTCTGGACCTTTTTCTTCTGTGGTCAGACGGACTAGCCAGACAACTCTTTCCCTGCACTCCGAGAGGGAGTGCCGTGCAGCTAGTTGGTGTGGATGGTCCCCAAGCCCACGGGTGGATGGTCCCCAGACCCGGAGAGGCAGGTGGCGTCCTGCCCCTTTGGCAGTCAGGACGGCGAGACTCAGCCAGACGGCACCCTGTTTTGAGTGGTCGGGGTACAGCGTGGCATAGCTGGGGGGCTTTGGCCTGTGGCAGGTGCCCCTCAGTGGCACCCTGGGCCTGGCGAGGGCCTCAGAGGGACGCCCGCCCCTGGAATCGACAGTGTGCCTCCTCTGTTCCAGGGCCGAGCTGGGAGCGATGGAGCCAGAGGCATGCCCGGACAGACGGGCCCCAAGGTAGGCCGCCGCCCGCACCCGGTGTGCCCCTGCGCCCTGCCATGTGGCGGACAAGCAGGCTGGAGTGTGACCATGGGGAGGGCTCATTTGGATCAGACTCGCTGGCTTGTCTAAGTCGGGCTGGCGGGTGACTTTAAGGACAAGGGTGACGGCTGCAGCCATTTTCTGGGGACAGCTTGCTCCTTTTATGGGGGTGCTGAGCAGGGGAGAGGTGGGATCCTGGCCATGAGAACCACTGTGAATGTGCAGGTGGCTAGGCCACCCGGGGACAGGTGTGCCCCGAGGTTGTCAGAGGACATACTGACTTTCTTCTCCACGGAGGAGCCACCGTGGGGACAGCAGTGTTTGGAAGGGGAATGGAGCCTGGTTGTCAAGAACGCCAGGTGCCCTCCGCACTGGTGGCCCTGAACTGGCAGAGCTCGACTGCCTCCTGAGAGTCTGAGCCAATGAGATACTGTGGGCTTCCGCGCCCTGGGGCGGAGAAGATCAGAGTCTGATTGGATCTGTCTCCATAGTTTATGGTGTTCTTTCCTCAACAAAATTATTGAAAGCTTAAAATATCCTACACTTGACCCCCGCCCCACCCTGGGAGATGTGGACACTGCTCCCGGCTGCAGGAGGCATGGCTGGGCTGGCCTGGTGCCTGTGGAGTGTGGGCAGCCCTGGAGGCCTGAGGCCGCAGCAGTGGGAACACAGGCAGGTGCTCCCCCCTCATGGGCCCGTCTGCAGGGGACCGAGAGTGGACAGGCACACACATCACGGCAGCCACTCCAAGTGCTGCGGTGTCACTGCTGGTGGCCACCCACGGCCCGCGGCTGTCTCCCTTTACAGCCTCTGCTGGTGTCAGGGCAAGAGGGGGCTTGCAGACCCCAAGCAGAGGGTTCCAGTCAGTGGGCTGCCCAGGAGTCACCAAGGCTCCTGGTGCAGGGAGCAAGACACTGCAGGAATCTGCCCATGGGGTGGCCACCACTGTGCCCATCTGTGTGCAGTGACAGTTCTCTTGTCTCCACAGGGTGACCGCGGCTTCGATGGCCTGGCGGGGCTTCCGGGAGAGAAGGGCCACAGGGTGAGTGTTGTGTGTGGGAGGTGGAAGGGTCAATCACAGAGCCCCTTCCCGAGCCCCTTCCACACAATGGCTCCCTTAGGGGGTTGGGTGGTCACCCAGCAGAGCACAGCAGGTCAGCCAGTGGAGCGGAGCCCCAAGACTTTGTCTCTGTGGAGGGAGAGTCAGCCAAAGCAGGGGATTCGTCATGTGCAGTGCATAAGGAGTGGTCCCAGTGGCCCTCACTCGGGGACACGGGGGCTGGAGTCGCGTCTCCCTGTGGAATCCGGCTCTGTTTAGCTGAGCCTTTCATGCCCTTGTTCCGTGAGCTGCTGAGCAGGACACCTCCCTGTTAGGGGTGGTCTGGGAGGGGGATAGTCACAAGCAGCCGTCCCCGTTAAGGAGGGTTGGGGTCAGGGCCACCCTGGCCGCTGCCCTGGTTTTCTCACCTGCCTGGGGTGGACCCGCATGGTGCCCCCTGTGTCTCAGCAGAGGTCTCTCCCTGAACTGTGCCTCTTTGGAATTTTGCACATTGGGGACCTACAGACCACATATGTGTGCACACGCGGGCACGCTGGGTCTTGCCGGGAGACGGGCCGTGCTCCCCGTGGTGCAGTAGAGTGATGCGGTCCCCAGCTGTGCTCTCCAGCAGCCTCGTGAAGATGGGGACGCATGGCTCTGGCCGCTCTCTGACTCAGTGCCAGTCCTTCTGACTGTCGGGCACAGACAGGGCACCAGCTGTGTGTCTGGCCTGATGCCACAGGAAGCCTGAGATGGAGCAGCCTCACGCAGAGCCCCAGGCTGAGGGTGGGTCACACTCTGCCTGGTATCCAGGGGGGCCCTCATGCTTGTGGGCCCCCCAGACGGCCAGGTGCTCAGCTAGCCACCGCAGGCCATCCACTCAGCACACCCAACCTCCCCCACCCAGACAGGCCCTCGGGGGCTGGGGATCTTCAGGACCAGAATTGCAGAACCAGGAAACCAGGGCTTGACACAAACTGAGGGTGACCTGCTCAGGAGTGACTCACTTTGACTCTGGTTGACTCCCTAGGGTGACCCTGGCCCTTCTGGCCCACCAGGACCCCCAGGAGACGACGGAGAAAGGGTAGGTGTCCTGTCACATCTCAGCTGCAGGTGCTGCCCTGCTCCCCAGAGAGCTTGGCAGGAAAGCCACAGATGGAGCCCAGCAGCGCCCTGCCTGGGGCGCCAGTGTGGGGAGGGCCGGCGGCGGTGGAGGAGGAGGGGTCTGAGCGTGTGGGCTGTGGGGAGGGGAGATACAAGCAAATCCCAAACATTTACTTTGCTTTATCGTCCTGCCCATGCGGAGAGGCCAGGAGTGCCTTTTACCTGTCACAGGTCTCAGGAAAAGCACCTCTAATTGCAGGAGGCAGGTGCCCCAGATCACATGGGAGGGAAGGTGCCAGAGGCCTAATGAGCTCTGCATCCCGCTGATGGCGTGTGATGAGGTGTCAGGGGTGTGCAGGAGCCGCGCTGGCTGGGGCGGCTGGAGCCGGGGGGTGTGGGGGATGATTGTCCTCCGCCCTGGGGGGGCAAGTGGCTGCACATGTGAGCAGAGCGAGGGGGGCAGCTCCCCCAGATTTGGGAAGACAGGCTGGAGTTGGGCCGGGCTCACGCACCAGAGGTCTCTCTCTGTCACTGCATCCCCACGGGGGCTGGAGGCCATGTTATCCTGTGACAGGGATGCTGAACGCTGCTGCCTTCTGTGCACCCGTCGCTAGACAGCCTCTCGGGGGAGGTTCAAGAACCCCGGGAAATGAGAAGTACTGGCGGGGCCACTCCAGCAGCATTTCTGTCCACCAGCCTTCACTGACCTGTCAGGGCACCTTCTTGGTCTGGGCCTCAGCACAGTCGGCTGTAAGATGAGAAGGAAGAAGGGTCCTTCCGGATGCCCCTGCCTCTTGTGTGCATGTGTGCACTGGTGTGCATGTTCATGGCTGGGTGTGCACGCAGGTGTGTGCATACTTGCACGTGTGTGGTGTGTGTGCATGACCGTGGGTGAGCGGGTGTGCAGGCAGGCTGTGCGCTTGCATGTGTGGGGAAGGTAGGAGAGAGCGGTGGCCCATGAGGACCAGTGTGCTGGCCTGCGGCTCCGGCTCCAGCTGGGAGCCAGGGGAGCACTCCTGCCCGAAGCCAAGAGGAAAAGGCTCTTGGTGGTTGGCCCCTGGGCTTCTCTGGGCTCTGGCAGAGACCTCAGGCTCCCCAGGGGCTGGCCAGGGACTCTGGTGAAGAGAATCCCAAGATTCTCCCTGATGTCCCTCCTTCCCAGATTCTGTCATTTGCCAGGGTAGCCAAGATCTTTGAATTCAGGGAGTCCTCTGCCCTGCTGCCCCTTGCTGTGGCTGAGGCCTGTGAGCTCCTGAGTGGGGCTTCTCAGAGGCTCCCTGTCACCTGCACATCTGTGCCCCTGCTACTCCCTGGGCCTTTCCTGCTGCTACAGGACCAGTCACCTCCATGTGCCGGAGCTGCCCCAGCCAGTGAAGCCTACTGCATACCAGAGGGAAAGGTGTCCCAGCCTCACAGCTTGTCCCTGAAATCCCACCTTCTTCTCCTCCACAGGGCGATGATGGAGAAGTCGGGCCCAGGGGGCTGCCTGGGGAGCCTGTAAGTGTGCCAGTGGGTGCCATCTGGGCCTGGTGGGGTGGAGATGGGCTGCACAGGAGGTTGCCTCTGGAGCATCGTCTGGGGTTTACTGCAGTAAGATTAGAGAACCTCAGCCTGAGGACAGAGACAGACACTGGCACTTCCCTGGGAAGGAAAGGAGAGACCACCTTGTGGTGCTGGAGAGCACACCAGCCTCCCTGCAGGAGGAGGCCTGGGCCCTGGAGGGTTGTGGCGGGCATCCAGGGGCATCATGACAGGTGATCAGGAACATCATGGTGGAGGCCTAGGGACATCATGGTGGGTGTCCAGGGACATCATGGTGGGTCTGCACACCTCTGCCATGGCGGGTCCCTGGGGACAGTCACAGGGCCTGCATCAGCTCAGGTTCTGATGGGTGCACTTTCCCATGGGGAGCTTCTAGCAACGCCCTGTCCGACCCCCAGGCAGGGAGCTCTCTTCCCTCAGCGGGCACATGTTTAGGCCCAAAGCAGATTTCCTTAATGATCGAGGGACGCTGATTTCTCTTCACTGAGGGTGGCTCCGAAACCTCCCTTGTTACCCAAGTCAGGCGGCTGTTTGCATCTGGCAATGTTAATTGATGAGAAATATTGCAAACGCTGTGTAGAGGAGAGTGCAGGGTTGGCCTGTGCGGATTCACTGGGACTAAATTATACCCTGGATGTCTGATTAGCCGCTAAGGGGAATCCATCAACACCATTCTCCTTAGCACGCGTCCGAGCGGTGCCTTCTGGGTTATTAGCTTCTGGAAAACATTAATATGACTGGGTATTAAAATAACGAAGGAAACACTTAAGAGGCAATGGACGTGGGAGGATTTCTCCTCTACTGAATTTGGAGAGGTTCTGTTAAAGTTAAGGGTACCTGAAATCCATGTGGCTTGGCTAAAGTTTACCTGATTCCACCCCCCGCCCACCCGTGGCAGACAGGGACTGGACGCTCGCTACTAGAATCTTGTCAGCCTTTCCAGGTGGCAGGTGCCTTGGGGCTATGCGCCCTGGCTCATGGGACCATGTGCAACTCGGGAGTGAGTGGTGGCCATGGGACGAGATCCTGGGTTCCCAGCAGAGACCTAGTTTCTCCTGACCCTGCTCCCTGCAGCCTTGGACTCTGTGAGACCAGAAATGACAGCTCCTGTTAGTGTGCACTGGGACTCAAGAGAGGGCCGAAAACAGGAACTGGACAAAGTGCCCTGTACAGTGGGGGACAGCAGTGGTGCTTCTGTGGGAGAGGTCTGGTCCTGCCTGTCCCAGCAGGTGTCAAAGGCGATGTCCTCAGTTCCCCCGCCTCAGTTCCAGGCACCCCCTGCCTCTGATTCCCAGCACCAGGGTGGAGAGGTAGGGGGTGAGAGGGCATCTGGGCCAGGCTCCCCAAGACCTGGGTCACCCGCCAAGCACCGGGAGGAGCCAGGCTGTGGGGCACAGGATTCGTGGGGGCCTGGGGATGTGGGCTGGGACTCCTGACAAGTTTGTCTTCCTTGCTCTTTCTTGCAGGGGCCACGTGGTCTGCTTGGGCCAAAAGGGCCCCCAGGCCCTCCAGGACCTCCCGTAAGTCCTGTCTCCTCATGTTGTGTGTTCCCGTGATGACCTTGGAGACCCTGCCACCCAGCTGGTGGCTCATTTGGGCACTGGGAGAGCACATGCAATGTGACCCTTCTGCACAGCTGCCTGCTGCTGGTGTGAGGGGCGTGGATGGGGCTGGAGGCTGGGGTTGCGGCAGGCCAGCTCCTACCTGTCCCCATCACGTTTCCATGTCCACTCCCTGGCATCCGCACCTGCCGGGTCTTTGTCAGCAGAGCCCCAGGGCACCATGTCCTGAGGGACCTTCCTGCAGCTCCTGTGCACGCTCCGGAAGGAGGCAGAGCCCTGGTTCCCATGGGGCTCTTTCCTGGGGCCTGCCTGAGGCCCTTCTAGAAGGCGCTTGCCCACAGGATACTGGGGTGGCAGCTCGGCTCGCCTTTGGCTGAGGCCTAGGGTCTGGTCGGTGGACCTTCTGCAGAAGGGATTTAGGTTCAGGTCTTCTGCTCCTCCGGGGGACTGCCCTCCGACACAGTTTTCCTTTTGAGCATTTCCAATGTACCATGTCTTTCCCTTTACATCCCCTGCAGGGCGTAACGGGTATGGATGGCCAACCAGGCCCGAAAGGAAATGTGGTGAGTCTGGGGCTGCCAGGGCTGGGCTTCATGGTGACAGCCCTGGGCACACTCCGAGCCCAGCTGGGGAGCTCTGGCCCTGTCCACAGCAGCTGGCACTGGGGAGCAGAGGGCCAGACTCAGAGCCCCCAGTGCTAAAAGCTGAGTTGGTGTTTGCCCATCCCATGCTGCTGAAGTCAGGGAGGCTCAGGGGGAGGCCACCTTCTTCCTGTTCTGGAGGAGCTGACGGCAAAGCCATCAGGAGATGAGTCCCGGGCCCTGGTCCTTTCCAAGGGCACTGGGGAACATCAGCAAGACAGGAGGACTGGGCACCAGTGTCCCAGTGCCCTCTACCCTCCTGCTGGGAGGTGTCCGGACGTGTCTGTAGGAGCACGTTGTCTCTGGGTCGAGGTGCCGTCTAGGCCCTGCTCTCTGGGGAACCCCACCTCTTTCTGCCGGGCTGACCCCACACATCAGCCTCTGTGCTGCTGTCAGGAGCTAAGAACATATGGAGAGGATGGGGTGCCCCCACCCGAGGGACGGGGTGCAGCTCCCTGAGCTCCTCTCAGGGCTTGCTCTGGTTTCCCACAGGGTCCCCAGGGAGAGCCTGGCCCCCCCGGACAGCAGGGTAATCCTGGTGCCCAGGTAAGTGGCCTGGGGACACAGCTCTGGGGCATCAGGCGTGGGGGCTGTGGGTCTCCAGGCAGCGGGAATGGGAGGAAGGCCAGGGCTCCAGCTCAGCCTTCTCCTCACCTCTCCTGGCTCTTCCCGCAGGGTCTTCCAGGCCCCCAAGGTGCAATCGGCCCTCCAGGAGAAAAGGTAGGTGGGTCTGAGCTGGGCCCGAGGGGCTTTTTGGTGCCGGCATGGGAGGCCAGCTGCCCTCACCCGCTCTCCCTGGAATTGCAGAAGCTCAGCTACGGGGAAGTGACAAGTCAGCCGTGGGCAAGGTCTCGGGTCCCTGTCCTGTGCGGACTCCTAAACACAGTCCTCCATCCTTTCGTTCACTCGCCAGCTCTGCCATGGGGGGCTGGATTTGGCAAGAATAGAAAATACATGACGCATAGTTAAATTTGAACTGTGTCGATCTGAAACTGGGCGTCGTGCTTTGTTTTGCTAAATTTGGCGACCCTAAACCCACCACCAGTACCTGCTGAGTCCCGTGCTGGGACTTGTTTCCACAGGGCCCCCATGCCTGGCTGAGGGTGGGGGCCTGGGTCCTCTGCAGTGGGGGGCTCGTCCCAGCCTGGGCATGTCGAGTACTGCAGAGCACCTTGACCAGCACAGCCAAGAACCACAGCGGAGGAGGGGTGCGGGTGGGTCTGAATGAGCCAGATTCCCCGGAAGGGCTGGTTCCAACCCAGATGGCCACTGGCCGGGGCCCTCTGAGTGTGGCCCAGGATGCCGATCAGTGACACTGTGTGGCTGTGGTACTAGGCCTTCGGGGGCCAGGGAGAGGCATGAACAGATCCCCTGGTGCGGCAGTTGCCCTGTCTGAGGAGCAGAGGAGAGCTTCCGACAGGCTCCCAGAGAGCCGGCGGGTGGGAGGGGGTGTCAGCGAGGGTGGGTGCAGCACTAGTGAGGGTGGGAGTTCTGTTCCCGGGGCTAAACCAGAGCTCTGGCAACAGAGGGAGGGGGGGCTGTCCTTGAGTGCTGGGGCGGCGCAGAGGGGTGCCTCTGAGCAGGCTTCTCAGCAGAAGAACCTGGGGCGCAGCGAGGGCTGGGCACGCCTAGGGGTGAGGTAAACCAAGGCGTGTCCCCACAGACTCTGTTTCTTCTAGGGTCCCCTGGGTAAACCAGGCCTCCCAGGAATGCCGGGTGCTGACGGACCCCCGGTGAGTAGCCTGCCCACGCCACCCCACTGGGGCTTGGGGGCTGGGAAGCCAGGCTCTGGGAACGACACGGGTGCCCTCGCCTGCCTTCCGTGGGGATGGAGGTTGGTCCCGTCCGGTCTCGAGCTTGATCGCTCAGAACTGCTGGGTTGGACACGCTCTTCAAACTGCTACTGTGGAAGGGTGGTGGCTGCACCGGTGGCAGTGCCAGCTCCTCACTGGGGTGTGCCGCTTAGTCACCCCTGAGTCTGGGACTGTAAAGAGGGCTGGCTGGAGCGACCGCAGCCGCGTGCTCGTGGTGTGTACTCTCTGGTCCGAGCACAGGGTGGGAGGGCGGTGCACCAGGGTCTAGCAACGTGTGAGCCTAGCGTGGAGCCCGTCCGGCACTGAGGGCAAGTCCCCGTGTGGCCACGTCGTGGGGAGGGGAGCTGGGGGAAGTGGGACCACTCAGAGGCCCTGTGTGCACGCGGTGTGCACCACGCGAGTCCCTCCGTCCCTTCCTGTGAGATGTTGCTGCTGTGGGGTTGGTTTTCTTGTTTGATTTTTGTTTACCAGGGACTGAACCCACGGCTCTTAACCCCGAGCCACAACCCCAGCCCTTTTTGTTTTATTTTGAGACAGGGTCTTACTGAGTTGCTGAGGCTGGCTTTGAACTCTTTTCTCCTGTCTCGGCCTCCAGGGTTATAGGCAGGTGCCACGGCACCCGGCTGGTCTGGGGGTTTTTAATAGTTTTCAGCTGATGCTGAAAGAGAGCCTGTTTCAGAGAACAAGATTAGCTAAATTAATTATTTAAGACCATGTATTTTATTGTTTTAATAACACCATCAAAAACTAAACAAAAAAGTTAAATATATCAACCATTAATTGGTTCCTGTTTACTACACATCTGTCTCTTTGCACTCCAGGGCTGAGGATCATTTAGTCCAGTGAATCTAAAAATTCCAAATTTTCCTTTTTAATCTGAGCAACGAATTACCGTCACTCTGCTCCACGTGGAGTTTTTTGAAAATATGTAGGGACTTGGCCACGCTGGAGTTCAGATACTATGAGATCCATCTTTACCAGGATGTCATTTGTGAACCCTTTAATTTATGTCTCTATCTAATTGCATTTTCTAAAGTTAAAAATGGCATGTTGTTATAAACGATTATAAACACAAGGGTGACGTGGAGTCACCCTCCCGTCTCCCAGGGTCTCTCTGTGGGCCTGGGGCTGCTGTTGCCTTCTGAGCAGGCCAGGTGTGCCTCAGGCCCCTGCAACATGGGACGGGGATGGCCAGCCCATGCCCTGCAGGGAGGCGCCCCTCCCAGATGCACCTGTTTGGGTCTCAGCCTGGTCCCTGCACCAAAACCTCCACAGAGTGGGGAGAGAGGGCCTCGGAACCGTTCCCCTGGAGCCTGCAGGTGCCCACCACCCTGAGCTCTCCAAGCCAGAGGTGGTGCTTTAAAATAGCACACAGGGCTGGACACTCGGGTGTGGTGTGCTCACAGTCGGGACCACAGGTGGACGGGAAGGCCCTGGTGGCCCCAGAAGCAGCCTCTCCTGGTGCACAGAGCGGGGAGATTCAAAAGAGCCTTCCTACAGCAGCACCCGGCTGCCACCCGCCAGGGGCCCGTTCTGCTTGGTCTTTGCTTTCCTCTTGGCTGGAGAGTTCTGGTTTTGAAGACAGGGAGATCGATGTTAAACGGGTGAAGAAGCAGGAAGCATGTGGAGGCCCTTGCAGCACCCAGGTGCCAGTGTTCAAGCCGCTCTCAGGCCACGGGGGAGCGGCAGGTGCACCGGGTCCCTGGGACAGTATGGAGCCAGTAAAAATCTACTTCAGCTGAACCCAGCAACTCGAGGAAGGCGCACGCCCTGCTCACTTAGTCAGACCCGGTGCGCGTGCAGAGCAGATGGATTAGAGCTCCCGTCACACAGTCAGCCACGGTGGCTGTGGCTGCGGAAGTCATGAGGGGCCTCGTCCCTTCCCACCCGCCTAATTGTCTACAGTGAATGTATATTACTTTTTAATCAAAAAAAAAATATCAAGTGCAAATAATGGGAGCTAGATTATTTCCCATCATGGAAGCAGGGCCCCGTTGGGTGTTGGGCGAAGGCCCGTGCCGGAGACTCAGCGCCCACCATTTGTTCCACCTCCTGCCTGCCCTGCCACCACGGCTGGTTTTCCTGGGGAGGGAGGAGCTGGGGCACTGTGACCCTCACTGCCACCTCTTAGGAATGCAGCAGAGGATGGGATACCCGAGGGAGGTGGCACTGACTAATGAAGGATTTCCCCTTTGTGACAGGGCCACCCTGGCAAAGAAGGCCCTCCTGGAGAGAAAGGAGGCCAGGTGGGTACTGGCCATGGCCGCTGATGGCTGTGCAGGTCCTGGGCTAGGGTGGGGAGGCAGGGGTACCTCCCGAGAGCCCTGGATGCTCATCAGCAAGCCCTCTGGCTGCTGAGGGACGTCCCTTTGTGGAGAGCCAGCCTGTCCTCCCGTGGGAAGCGGCCACTTTACCCACGGCCCCTTGAGGGGTGCATGTCTTTGGTGGCAGCTCTGTCCTTCCAGGCACCCGTGTTGCCTCAGCCCGTCTTGCTCCAGGACCTTCCCTCACTCCCAGACTGCTGGTGGGATGCGGGGTGTCACCTCTCATCATGTGACACTACCCGCTGTCTTTGACGTTAGGGCAGGGGCCGCTGTGTCCCCCCAGGCCTCTGTGGGGCCCGATGCTGGTGGAAGCCGGGTCCTGTCTCTCGCTGAGGGACCTGGAGTTGGCTGCAGTTACCCAGGTGCCTAAAGGGAGTTGACAGCTTTTTTCTTTTGGTTTTAGGGCCCACCTGGCCCCCAAGGTCCCATCGGTTACCCAGGTCCTCGAGGAGTCAAGGTGAGGAATCTATGGAGCCCTGTCTTCCTGGAGGTCAGGGTGGGGGGAGGACACGGCTGGCTGACTCTGGGGAGCTCTTCTGCAGTTAAGCCTCCCTCCTGCCTGGCCCCGGAGTAGCCTGGTATGCCATCAGGTGGGATGCTGTGGGTCGACAGCACCCGTAAGGGCAGATTCGGGGCAGGGCACAATCTCCAGTCAGCCTACGCACTGCCATCGGAGGGACAGGAGAGTGTCCTTTGGCCCTGTGTGCCATGCTCTGAGCCCAGCGGCTCTCAGACTTCACAGGCCTCAGAGCCTGGGGTGTCTCCACAGGGAAGACAGAGCCGTTTGCATGTTTGAAGGGTGAGAATGGAAGTCTGCCCCCCCCCCCCCACAGCAGTGGGCAGAACAGAGCCCTTGACAGACAGACGTGCAGATGGCCACTTGCTCACTTGTGTTTCCACCCGGAAAATGCCCGCAACCTCGCTAGGCAGGGCTCAGAGCCCCCGCAACATGGACAGCACGGTCCCACTGGCCTGCCAGCACTGGCCGGGTCTGCTTGGCGCTGTGTGGTTGAATCAGCGGAGGCTTGGGTTCACGCGCTCTCTTCTTTTTTCTACCTGTGCAGGGGGCAGATGGCATCCGTGGTCTGAAGGGCACCAAAGGTGAGAAGGTAAGTATCTGCTCCTTCCAGCCGAGGGCCTAGCCTGGCCGGAACAGGACCCGCTGGGTGGCCCCACACCAGCACGTCAGCACGGCCAGCGGAGGAGGTGTGGCTTCTGAGTGCAGAGGGCAGCTAAGGCCACTGTGCAGGGAAGTGCGTGTGCACCAGGGGGATGAATAGTTGAGGGCAGGCCCGGGGTCCCCTGGGTGCATCCTGGAGGGCCCCGTGCATCTGGTTCACGCCTCTGCCCACGGGCTGGGTAGTTAGGGTTCTTCCCAGGCAGCCCCCACAGCTGCAGAGGTGCGCACTCCTGCAGCTGAGCTGGGCCAGGCGGGAGTGGGCTGGCGCTCGGTCCCCGGGCTCGGAGGGCGCTGCCAGCCCACAGCCCTGGGCACGCGCACACACGCCCACACGTGCGACAGCACGCCCGGTGTGAGTTAGTATAAAGCCCCCGCTCAGCACACTGCTCTGTCCTGTCCTGAACCACGGGTCAGATTGGGCACGGGTCAGATGGCATCGTTCTGGTTAGTAAACATCTGAGACGGGCCACTGTATGTGCTGGCCGGGGTCAGTGCTCAGGGACCAGCAGTGGTGATGTCCTCGGCCACAGGCAGTGGTGGGCTCACCACATCTGTCCTCTCAGTTCTGGACGAGGCCCAGAGCCACCTTCCAGGCCTGTCCCATGGGTGGGCTCCAGGGCTGCGTGGCCCTAGCCCCTCCCATCATGGCCACCTGTTCTCTGGCATCCCCCTCAGAGGTTTTCCACAGGGACTTGGCCTCCCTTGCGGGTGGCCTGTGAGGCTTCCCAGGGGCTCGGACCTGGGGTTGGAGGGCAGGGAGGCTGCGGGCAGGAGCTCAGGTGGCCTCTTCTCTCTCTGGGACGGTGCTCATGCCCTGCTGCTCCTTGCTGGGCCCCTGGGGGACCTGCCAGCCTGATCCACACTCACGTTGGCACATCAAGGGCTGCCACTGGACCCGAAGTGACAGGGCAGTGGGACCACCGTGGCCCCACCCAGCCTGTGCCCTCAGTGGGCTGTCCTCAAGGAGGACAGGCCAGGCCCGCACAGGCGCAGCTCCCTCCAGAACACACCTGGGCCAAGGTGGGACCCCCTGGTTCCAGGGGATTTGGGGCTGCTGAGCAGTTTGGCCCAGGATGGTGCCTGTCGACACCCAGGGCCTTAGGGACAGGCACAGCCCCTTAGGAACAGAGGTCCCCCCAGCAGGGTTCTTGTCACAGCCCATGTCTCAAAATCCCCATCCCCCTGGTTCCCAGGGTGGCTCTGCTGTTTTGAAGGTGGCCTCCTGGAGTCCCAGCTTTGTCCTACCAGCAACAGAGATGCTTGGGAGGACGTGACTGAGTCACATGGAGGCAGCCATCTTGCCAGGACAGTCCCTGGGCTGTCCTTAGGGGTGCTGGAAGGGGTGGGAGGGGACGTGGGGGACTGTGGCCCTGGCACTCCAGCCGACTCCGCGGCCACAGCTGGCCAGCTGTGGGCACTGTGTGAACACTGGGTGGGCGCCTCGGGGCCCACTGGGTGGGAAGTGGGCCAGGCTCCGGGCGGCGAGGCCTGACCCTCAGGCTCCCTGTTTCCTCCTCTTGGATGGAGGCCCGGCCCCGAGCAGGGAGAGAAGGCCTGGCCCCCTCCCTGGTGCCAAGCTCAGCCTCTGTGGAGGTCAGAGGGCTTTCTCCCTGTGGTCTCCTGGAGGGGACAGGAGGTCGCTCACCCTTGACACCTTCCCTGTGGGTCCCCAAGTCCACAAGTGGCTCAGCTCCTGTAAAAGCCAGGGTTGCCTTCTTCTCGGCTTCTGGTGACGCTGATTTTTTATTTGCAACGCCACCAGAGCAGCCCAAGTCCCCTCCTCAAGTGTCAGCCCACTCACCTGCTCCCGGCCTTCAGTGCTGAGAGGACACAAAGCTGCTCTGAGAAACAATGCCCGTGGCTGGGGCTCGCTCAACACAGCACAGGCAAACCAGGCCGCTGACCACCAGGCCCGCTGACCACCAGGGCCGCAGCCTCAGCTGCCGGGCGCTGAGCCCGTGGGTTAGCAGGAGCACGCCTCACAAGGCCGAGCACAGGGTCCCCCCATCCAGGCTCCCACCGCAGGTCTCCGTGCCAGTGTGGGGGTGGGGAAGCAGTGCCAGGGAGCGGGGGCTTTGCTCTGGGTTAAGGCCGACTCATCCCCTCCAGGGTGAAGATGGCTTCCCTGGATTTAAAGGCGACATGGGCATCAAGGGTGACCGGGTAAGTGTCCAGCTAGGGAAAGGCAGAGTGGCACAGGGTCCTGGGGAGGGGTGCGGGGTGTTTGTGGCTGTGGAGTGTCTTCTCAGAATGGAGGTGCCACCTCTGTGGGGACTCCTGGTCCTGAGCCGGGGTGGTCTGAGCCCTGGAGCCGGGCTCTCTGCAGTTCTGCTCACCTCGCCCTCAGTTTCCAGCTTGGAGGCTGGAGTGCTGTCCCTGTATGACCCTGGGGACAGGATGGCTGTGGACCACCCCTCTGCCCTGGGTCCCACACAGGTGGGTCCACGGGGACTTGTTACTTCCCGGCTGATCAGGTGGGTTATGGAACAATTAGTGACTGCGGGCCGGGAGATGGGTGGCCAGGGAGGGGAGAGCGAGGTTATGGAATGAAGCAGTCGGTGGAGTACCTCCCCAGGCCACAGCCAGTCACTAGCAGGGCCACACCCTGCTCAGCCCTTAGAGCACCCGGCATGGCCCTGGTGTTGGACAGTCTGGTGCTGGGCCTGCGGGAGAAGTCCCAACAACCTGGCTGGTTCTCTGTGTCCCAGCACTGGGGGAAGGTGTGCTGGAGAGCAGGGCTCACAGGTGACAGGCACGGGGCCGAACGCCAGCTGTGCTGTCACATAAGCAAGGAGAGGGTGTAGGAGTGACCCAGAGAGGGTTTCCAGGTAGTGGCCACTGCCTGGTGGCTTCCCAACAACTCCAGGCTGAGTCAGAGCCCAGGCAGAGGGATGAGCTGCCTGTGCTCAGGGGCCACACACACTGGGCTGACCTTGTCGCTGACGTGGCCTGTCGTCTGCTGCTGTGATTATCCTCCAAAGCAGGACCTGAGGGCGCCTCATAGAACATGCCAGAACCAGAGGCCCTGGGTACTTGGCACCTTGTCCCACCTGGCAGGCAAGTGCCAGCAGCGATAGCCCGTCACTGGAGGGAGAGCAGGAGGGCGGTCTCTGTGACGTCCTGGCTGCACCGCTGTGGGCGGCCGGCGCTGCAGACCGTGCCTCCTAGTGGAGGGCCAGCCCTCCTCACCCCTGCCCTCCGATGACTCAGCTCACAGGCTTGGGGTCCAGGTGACAGGGCACAGCTTTAAATACAGACGATTTCCCCCGGTCTCAGCTGCAGCCAGATGAGGGTGGGAGGGCTGCAGGACGTACCCCTCGGGGGCAGCTGCCGCCATCACACTTCCCAGAGCAGGTGTGCCATCGCGCCCAGAGCTGAGGCTCATTGAGGAGGACAGAGGAAGGCCCCTGGGCTCCCATTCTCCCACAGACCAATGAGGCAGCCGTTGGTCTCTGTCCCTGCAGTGCACATTTTTGGTGTGGGCTCTTCAGCTGTTCTGCAGCTGCTCTTGGAAGCAGTTGGTCAGGGGGACTCACCACTGACCACCTGCTTGGGCAGGTCCTGTCCACTCCGCCACTGAGCACCGGGACAGCTGTTCAGAGCCAGAGTGGTGCTGCCCTCGGCCTCAGCAGGCTGCTGGGCCCCCTCCTCAGCCTCCACCTGTCACCTGGGGGTGTTGAATAGGGCAGGATGAAGCCCACTGTCCCCAGCATGTGTTCTGGGGGTCTCCTGTGACCTGGTTTTGCCCAGGTAGCTGCCCAGTTGGAGGCTGCCCGTCTCCAAGGCTGCTGGGGTTTCAGAAGAAGGCAGGTCCCATCCACCCGCTGCATTTACGGAGGTAGCTGTTCAGCACCTCCATTGTTAACGGGTTCTTTCAGCCAAGAGGCCCTTGACGTGGGCGAGGTAATTGGGAAGAGCAGGCCCTTGAGCATGTAGCGGGCACGCTTGGTGCAGAGGGACGGCACACCCTCTAGCAGCGCCCGTGATTGGCCACATGATGGGCTCTGGAGCAGGCCCTCTGCTCAAGTGAGGCCAAAAGGCCAAGTGGCTCTCACCACAAGAGGCCTCCATCCAGCCTCATGCCCGGGACCGTGGCTGGAGTCCTCAGCCTGGCGAGACTGTGGGGTCCCCCTCACGTCCTCTGTTTGACTGCAGGGGGAGATCGGCCCACCTGGACCCAGGGGAGAAGATGGCCCTGAAGGCCCGAAGGGTCGTGGAGGTCCCAATGGTGATCCCGGTCCCCTGGGGCCCACTGGGGAGAAGGTTTGTGACACTGGGTGGTGGGCCATGCCTGGGAGGGACTGAGCTCCGCTGAGGCTCTAGATAGGCCCCTGCTGATGATCCCGGCCCCCGGGCCCCCAGTAATCGTGCCCCATGGCCATGCACATTGACTGACAGGTCATATGTCGTCCTGCATCTGACCCTTCTGCCCCCCTCGGAGGAGGCTCTTCCCCAGGCACCTGCAAGCTGGGCTCTGAGCTCCCCCAGCCAGATAGAGAGTTTCCATCCTTGAGTTCCTGCCTCCCACTGAGGGTATCGGCACATCCCCGCCATGGCAGGAGGGCACAGCCCTCGATGGCGGCCATTCTTCAGCCTGCCCTGTGCAGCTGCGGGAGGAGCCACCCTGTCCTACCTCGTCCCCTCTAATTAGAAGGAATGGGAGTACCAGTGTCTAAAACTTCCCACCTGACCGCGTGTGGCCACAGGAGGCTGAGCCACGGAGGGAGGACGTTCTTGCCCGGGAGCACTTGGGGATGGCGCGGCACCCAGCTCCTCCCTTGGGCCTCTGCTCTTCCGTCAGTGCAGGGACCATGGGCGCTGTTGTATCCCATGGGTGCTTAGAGGTTCCGCCCCAGAGGACAGCAGGGACTCTGTGGTGACGGTGTCTTTGAATGCTGCCTCCCGCCCCAGCCCGTTGGCTTCCTCTTGGCGCAGAGGAGAAAGCCGAGGACGGCGGTTCTCACCACGATGTGCTTCTTCTTTCTTTTCCCCAGGGAAAGCTCGGAGTCCCCGGATTGCCAGGGTACCCAGGAAGGCAGGGGCCAAAGGTACTTTGAACCGTACTAGGTGTCTCGGCAGGTGTGAGGCTGCCCTGCCCCACCCGGCACTCCCTCATCTGTTCCTTGACCTGGTGGCTTCTGTGGCCCCAGGCTGGTGGTACCGTCCCTGGGGCTCTTGTCTATTAGCAGTTTGTGTTGATCTGGCCAAGTTCAAGTGAGGAGCCTGGCCACCAGTTAAGCCTTCCAGAGAGGGGCAGGACCTAGCCTGGCCTTGGGCAGCTGGGCCCTGGTGGCCCACTGTGGCCTTCGCCCATTGTCTTGTCCACGGCCAGAGCTCCTGGAACAGTAGACCCCCACCTCACTTGGAGGCTTGGCAGAGTTCAGTCCTGGGGTTGGTGCTGCGGCTCCCTGAGGCTCTGTCCAGGTGCCTTTCTGCCACCGGGTGCCGTGTTCCAGATGGAGGCTCCTTCTGCAGCCTCGGGGTGGGCAGGAGGGTGGTCCCAGGGCTTCGCTCTGGAGTCTGTGAGATGTTCAGGAAATGTTGAGCTGATGAGCAGACGGGTGCCAAGCAGGCAGAGAGGTGGGTGGCGGTGAGTGGATGGTGGATGGGCATCGTGCAGGGTGGCCATCCTGCAGGCAGGTGGGCAGTGCACCGGTGGGTGGGTGCAGCTGATGTCACCCATTGGGGGTGCAGCATAGCGCCCCCTCCTGGCCCAGCTCTCCTGCTTCCTCCTCATCTCTCTCTTTCAGGGTTCTATTGGATTCCCTGGATTCCCTGGTGCCAATGGAGAGAAGGGCGGCAGGGTAAGGACGGCCCTGGACGGGCACCTGCTCTTTTTGCCTTGCTGTGTGGCGGTTGCCCAGTGGCTGCCTACTTCTCCCCATCCTACCCCCAAACCACTTTCCAGACGGCTGGTCTTGAGCCCCGGGCCACTCTCAGTGCTGGGGACTCTGGCAGATGCTGGGGTGGCAGCTCTGTGATAGGCAGGGGCAAAGACAGGAGCGGAGAGAGTGCCGGGAGGGAGCCTTCAGGCCGATGCCCGCGGCAGCCCCAGTTCCCTCCTCCTGCCCGAGTTCCCTCTCCAGGCCAGCTTTAAGGGCAGGGTGCTCACCAACTCCTGGCTAGGCTGGCACCCCTCTGGGACCTGGTTGCAGTGCGAATCTCCAGGTTCATTGTTCCCTGGTGTGCTGTGGCTGCACATGCACCCAGGGTGCCGAGACGTCCTGCTGTGGGTGGCTAACAAAGGCCTCGTGGGGACTGGGCTACGGAGCCATGTCCCCAGCCTTAGGTGGAGCCCCCACTGGCCCAGCCTTCTTGGCAGGAGCCGCTCTGGATGCTCCTTGGTGGAGCCACGGTGCCTGGGCATCACCCGTTGGGAAGGCAGGAGCCACCTGGTCATCTTGGCCCTTGCACTCTGAGCTGCCTGGTCCACAGGCATGCCGGGGACAGAGCAGCTGCCTGTGGGGTGTCCACAGAGCAGGCTCCTCCAGCTCTGCTGCCACCCAGCTGTCCCAGTGCACAGAGCTGTGGGCTGCGGCTCCATCCATGTGTGGCTCCGGGAGAGTGGAGCAATTGTGTCCCGGTGAAGGCCGAGGAAGACCCAGGGCGGCTGAGCAGGTGACAGTGAGCACGTGTGCTCTGCCACTCAGCCACAGAGAAATGCGGGCACCCTCCTGGGCAGGACAGGGCTGGCGCGGGGGGACAGCCTCTGTCCAGGCCTCGGCGGTCTGCAGACCTGCCTGCCGGCCCACCAGTCCGTCACCTCCTGTGTATCATCTACCTGTCTGTAGCATCTGTCACTCACCCGTCAGTCACCTGTCATCTGTTTATCGTCTGTCTTTGTACCTTCTTTCATCTACTGTCTACCTGTCTTCTGTTTATCATCTGTTCACCTGTCGTCTGTCTGTCTGTCTTCCTCTCGGTCATCTGTTCACATGTCTGTCACCTGCTGTCTGTGTATCTGCCATCTACTTACCTGTCTTCCCACCTGCCGTCTGTTTATCCCCCTGTCTGTCACCTGTCATCTTTCCTTCTAAGGACGGCCTGACTGGTGTCTTTGGGGAAGGCTGTCCTTTGGAATACATGGAGGTGCCCATGGCGAACAGTGGCCTGGGTCTCCTAAATGTGGGACACACTGGCATGGCAGGATGTAGACCCCCGTGCCAGGACTGTCCACGTGACACTATAGTAATGAGAACCTTAAGGAGAGGGCACGTGACCACCAGCTGCTGGTGTTGTGGTCTCACCACAGCCGTCCACGGAGGACCACATGGGGCCAGCTGAGGCTGTGCCCCCCATAGCTCAGCCTCTCCCTCACTGACCCTGAGAGTTTGGACAGCTGCTCTGGGTACCCGCTGGCCCTCACTGGCCATGTCCACAGCATCAGCATCGTGGGCCACCAGACAAACCAGAAAGCCTGAGTCATGCCAAGACCTACCAGGCACCTCCAGGCACCGATGCCTGAGCCCAGGTGGGAGCCACTCGCAGCCTCTGTGTGGCACCTGGACGTCCAGCCCTGATCAGGGATGTTCTATCCATTGCTGTTCCAGCCCTGGGCACAGCTCATGACACAGACGTCAGGCCAAGAGGTGGAGGCCATCTGTTTCTTTGAGCACTTTTGAGCACAGGGTAACTGAGTCCGTGGAGCTGGGTCCCTGCCACTTTGCCTTCCCATCATGCACCTCCTGTCTAGGACACAGAATGTAGCCGTCCTGCTGGAAACCTGCGGAGTCTTGCTGCAGAGAGAGGTCTGCAGTACTGGCCTGCTTTTTGACAGGTGGTTTGGGGGATGACAAAGATGGCAGGTACCTTGGCCTGCTGGGTGGGGTGGCCTCCCCTGTGTTTGCAGGAGCTGGAGGCCAGCTGTCCTGGCAGGGGGCCCGTGTTCTCTTGTTCAGCACTGAAGCCTCCCCTGGTGCTGGCTCGTCCTCAGAGCCTCAGTGACCCGAGCCGTCCGTCACAGCTCCGGGTCGGGTGTCGGTGCTCTGCCCTTGGCCTCTGGACTTCACGGTCACACCGGCTTCTCTCTCGGAGGCACTTAAACAGCACACGTTTCTCAAGTCCTTGCTAGATGCAGACACTGCTGGGCACCGGGGACTCGGTGATCACACAAGATGTACCCCTGCTGCCCAGAGCAAAGCCCCCAAGGACTGGCACCCAGGGATGACAAGGGACGATGAGGGTCAATGATGCACTGGGTGCCCCAGTGCTCCAGAGTGTAACTCTGAGACCTGAGGGCCTTCACAGTGGTGGTGACACTCCTGCTATGACCTGCAGGAGGGACGGAAGAGGGGCCAGTCAGGGCCGTGGAAGGTGGGAGGAGACAGAGGAAGCTGGTATGTGCTGGGCCCAGGCAGCCACCCATTGCAGGGCCGACCAGGTCCACAGGGAGGCTTTCCCAGGAAGCTCTGTCCCAGTGTGGGGAAGGGGCTGGGGAAGGAGACCAAAGGGCTGGAGTGGGAGCTGTGGGGGTGGTGCTGTCCCGGAGGCTCTTTTGCTCAGAGATTCTGCTCGGTGGTGGCCTCTAGGTCAGGGCTGGGGTGCTGCACAGCCTGTGGCTTCTATGTGTCTGCCTCTGACCTGAGAGCCTCCTGAATAGGTCTGTCCTGGCTTCTGCAGAGCTGGTGGCTGGCTTCCGTGGCCTTAGTGGGGGCGTGGTTAAACAGGAAGAGCATCAGGGACATCAAGCTGGTTGCAGCCAGGCACAGAAGCCAGCAGAAGCGAAGCGATGCCCATCAATGGCCTGCCCCCACCAGGGGGTGGGGAGCAGCCTTTTGGACACCCCCTGCCACCGCAGGGCTTCTCCTGCCTGGGCTTGGTTCCTTGGATCCGGCAGAGAACGTCAGTAGGGCCACTTCTGGGACTGTCCGTTCCTTCCCAGCAAGAACAAGAGGACTTGGCAGCTTGTGAAGGAGACCCGGGGGTCACGCTGTGTTCAGTGGCTTCCCCCAGGACCAGCACCCTGGCTTGGGTTGGTTTACAGTGAGCGCTGGTGAGCTGGTGCTGCCTGAGTCCAGAGGAGCTGTGGCCGAGACCCCGTCCTGCCCGGGCCTCGGACACCGTTGGGTCAGGGAGCCACATGTGCCGTGAGGTGAAGAAGGAGATCCAGGTCGCGGCCTGCTGTTGGGTTGAGGGAGGGCCGGGGAGAGCCCTGACCGCGGAGGACAGCCGCCACAGCAGGGTGTGTTCGGGTGGATCGAGGACGTCCACTCAGGACAGCGTTCATCATTGAAGACGCAGATGTTTCGCTAATTTTCATATGCAAATATTTATTTGAAGCCAGAGGACACAGCCATGGAATTAAAGCCCTGGAACCAGAGTGCACTGTTAAAAAGGAACATAATTAACTCATCGTCATAAATGGTCTCGTTAAACGTGTCTCGAATGGGAGACTTGAAAGCAGTGCCGATGCCGGCAGCAGACGGATGGAAGGTGGGGAGAAGAAATGTGTCCCTTGGCCTCGGCAGCATGGCCCTGTCCTGGGCTCTGTCCTTAGGAGACCACGAGCAGAGCAGAGAGCAGGCCCCGGGAGGGACCCGACCCTGCATGCGGCAGGAGGCCTTGAGATCTTCGCTGCCAAGAAACAGATGCCGTGCGCTTGCATTCTGTGGTTTGGAAAATGCAAAACAGCAACAGGAAAAGGAGCCTGGATCCTGAGAGCAGCCACGGCTCCTGGATCTGTGATTTATGGGTTAAATTGCAAGTTTGCTCGTCGGCGGAGCCTCTGAAAATTTAATGGCTAATATTCTTAACACTAGCAAAAGTAAATTATGTATGAAAGGGACTGACTTCCTTCTCTCTTTTTGTAATAATGATTCCCCCCCCCCCTGAGAGGGAAGGAGGAGGGAGGTGGGGAGATTTGCGGAGAGGAAACAGGTAAGTAGTAAACATCCATCAGGTGGGGCGGGAGCCAGCTCTCAGTGGGCACGTGCAGGGCGCGGGCGCTGGGTGATGCCCTCCTCCCTCGGGCAAGCCCCCATCCCAACTGTCCAAACCAAGATGGTCAGGTGGCTGGAGGCCGCGCCCTTCCTGGCCCTGCAGAGTCACTCGGTCCCTGGATGCCGGGGAGGGTGGGCTCCTGAGCAGAGCTGGGTGTGCGCAGAGTGACTGACAGCCCCTTCTCTGCTTCTAGGGGACACCTGGAAAGCCTGGACCCCGGGGACAACGAGGCCCAACGGTAACCTCCCTGTGGCCTGAGGGCCATCCTGGAGAAACGGAGTGTGGGGCTGGGGCAGGGGACAAGGAAGGTGGCCTCTCTGGCTGTGGACATCTGAGCTGACCTACCCCTCTTTTCTCCATCTGTCCAGGGTCCGAGGGGTGAAAGAGGCCCACGGGGCATCACGGGCAAGCCTGGCCCCAAGGTATGTCCTTGTTCCTCTCCGGTGACTACACAAACCCGTGTTGCAAGGCTGAGGTGACAGAATGCACATGGCAGCTGTCTGTGGCCTTTCCCAGACAAGGAGGGAAGCTTTCTTTCCTGGACCTGTGTTAGGAGGAGCTCCCTCCAGCAGCCTGGCTAAGTGGCTCAGGGGACGAGGTCCCTAGGCAGACAGAGTTAGGACAGTCCCCACGTGTGGGGACTCGCGTCCCTGGAGGCCAGGCCCATCACAGACCAGCCCAATTTTGGTGAGCAGGCCTTATTTCTTCTGTGGAAAAGGGGTCTGAGGCTGCAAAGAGATTTTTACTAGAAAGTTCTTTCTCGGTGGGTGGACACTGAGCCTCCTTGCCTAGGAGGCAACTCTGGCTGTGACTCTGAAGACAAACCCAGCATGGCAAGCTGTCCCTTCCCTGTCCAGTAGGAACTCCAAAGGGGATTCCTGCTGAGATAAGCCTTCCAGGTGACAAGGGGCAGCACCAGCAGACCAGGAGGCCACTGGCCTTCCTTTATGCTGAGCCCTGGGTGCACCTCTTGTTCCACCATGAGAAGGATCCCCTCCTCAGGCAGCTGGTTCCCTGTGGGGTGGGGCCTGAGGCAGGTCCCTGTGTGCAGTCCTCAGTGGCTTTGGATGTTTTTCTTGGCTGAGTGGGACACTGTTTTGGAAAGGTCATAGCCCTGCAGATGTCAGCTGCCACTGCACGCACAGGGGACAGGCAAGCTGTGGGAGACGTTGGTCAGTGCCGAGCTGTTCTGCCCTCTGCTAAGGGCCAGGATACCCTGGAGAAGGGCAGGAGCCAGTGTGTGATGTGCATGTTCGGTGATGTCACTGGCCAGGGTCTCCATCCGAGCCCTCGTCATAGCAACGCCTCTCTCCCTCCCTTCCCGACTCCTTCCCAAGGGCAACTCTGGAGGTGATGGTCCGGCTGGCCCTCCTGGTGAGCGGGTAAGCTTCCTGCCCATGGCTGGGGAACCCCTCCAGGAAGGTAGCTGCCCCAAGAGCCCCTGGCACCCCTGCTGCGGCAGTCCAGGAGGGGAGGTGCCCTGACCCTGCTGGGGATGGGGTGAGGCCTTCCGTTGCTCAGAGACTCAGCTCTATTGGGGTCCTGAGGTAGTTGAGACAACAGGAAATGGGGTCCTGGGCCCCGTCTTGCCCCTAAGGGCCCTGGGACATTGCTTTGCGACTGGCCCCCTGGCATCCCTGGCTGGGCCTCCCACAGCGGGATAAATCGGGAGAAGGCTGCAGGAGCGGTGTGCTCAGAGTCCAGTGAGGGTGTGGGCTGCTGGGCGAGGACTTCTGTTTTCAAATTGGCCACTCTCTTTCCCCAGGGACCCAACGGACCTCAAGGACCCACGGGATTCCCTGGACCAAAGGGCCCTCCGGTAAGTAGAGCTCCCCACCTGGGCAGGCTTCCTGGGGCCCTTGTCTGTCCTTTAGGGCTTGTTGGGGGTAGGAAGACACTGCCAGACCCTGGCCGGGTTGGCAGGAGGGTGACAAGCCCCTGGGCCAAGGCTACCAGTGGGTGGCCCCTGGCCACACCCACCTCCCTGGAGAGCAGCGTTATGGAGGCCTGTCGCCCAGATGCCAGCATGTTCTGTCTGGGGTCTGCGTTCTGAGGGCACCAGCCTCGGGCTTAGGGCCACCCCTCCTGCCCAGCCTCAGCTTGGCTGGGTCATACTGGCGGACCCCATTTGCAAGGGGGCTCACACAGGTTCTGGGGAGAAGACTCCAGCATGGCTTTCTGGGGACCCCGGTTCGTCTTGCAGCTCGGTCAGTGTATTCCACCTCATCCTCCGGAACGTGAAAGGGCATCCAGCAGCGGGGACGCTGCCTGGTGCTGGGGTGCTCAGGAAGGAGCTCCTCCAGCTGGACAGGCCTGGCTCCCAGTCCACCTGGCCAGCTGCCTGCCAGGCCTCCAGAAGTCGATGCGCCTCTCCCTGCCCGTGTGCCCTCTGGGGACGGGGATAACTGCTTGTCCCTTGGGCTGCAGTGAGGATTCAGTGAGGTGATGGGTAGGTGCCGTCATGGCACCTGGGACAGGCTTCTCTGAGGTGCTTATTTTCGGTGCCTTGGTGACTTGGACAGTGACCTTTCTCAGAGGAAGCTCACGAGTGAGACCACGGAAGTGAGATGGAACTTTCCGTTGGCTTGTGTGGCCATAGGTCCATTGAGTGTGGCTGTTTCTCAGACTGGAATGAAACTTCCTTCCCCTCTCCTTTCTTCAGGGCCCTCCAGGCAAGGACGGGCTCCCTGGACACCCTGGACAGAGAGGCGAGACGGTGAGTATGTGGGTGCTGGGTCAAGGCTGTTGCCTGGCCTCCTGCAGGTTGGGGGTCCGCGGCCCTGCCCGGGGGTATGGTACTACCCAGTGCAGGTGAGGGGACCTCGCTGGCTTGGGAAAACCAGCCAGCCTCCCATAGGCGTCCCGAGGGCCCGCCCTCTGCCACTGACTTGGGGTCAGGCTGTGGGGACGTGAGCAGGCCAGCAGTGTGCCCCGTGACACCTGAAACAGGTCCTGGCGTGTTGCTGGTTGTAGCAACTCTGGTCAGAGGCCACACTGCAGACCATCGGGGCCTGAGCAGAGGCTGATGGGCCTCTGGAGCCTTGTGCTTCCGACCTATGCCTCCCTGAATAACAGGGGACAGCGCCTGCAGCCCCCGTGTCCCCACGGGAGAAGGGCTTGGGGAGGCTCTCCTTTGTTGCCCAGTTACTTCCTGCTGCAAGACTTGAAGAGAAGGCGGCCGGCCTCGCTCCTACCCCAGCCATGTTCACCTGGGGGGGACAGGGGTTGAGGGGACAGGGGTCGGGAAGACGCCTCCAGTCTGGACGGGCACCCACCTGGGTGGACGTTTGGCCTCCCCTGGTTGCTCGGCTGGGTGCACGATGGCGATGGCATCTCGCCCGTGGCTCGCTCTTCCCTGTTTCGGGCTGTGTCACCTCGGGTGATGGAGCCACCATTTGCAGCTGGTAGAAAAAGCCTTAATCAGAAATGTGACCATTTCCTGGCCCCATCAGCCACCGGAGATCTGTCCCCATTCATTGGAGGCACATCCTGGCTCCCCTGTGACCTTGGCCACACCATCGACCTTGGGGCTCCAGGCTTTGAGCAGCTGAGGTCTGCAGTGCCGATGGCTCCTTGTCCCTGTGCTGTGTGCCGTCCCTGTATGCCCACCTTGTCCAGCTTGGAGGACAGAGTGCGCAGAGGGGGCCTTTCCCACCAGGGAGAGCAGGGCACACAGGGATGGGCAGCAAGGCCACATTGTCCTCTGCAACTTCCTTGTGCCTGGTGCTCTGGTGGTCCCTCCCCGCTGATGCTGGCCCCCGGGTGGCACAGGTCTTTGAATGCCACATCAGGTGTGTGCCTTTAAAGACAGGATCCCTTTTGTCTCTGGTGCCTCGCGATGAAACCTCGTTATCATACCTTGGCAGTGTCTGTGCTGCCATGCTGGCTGAGAAGTGAAGAGGACTTTGCTTTTTTGTTTATCGAGAAAGATTAAAACATTTCCCCCGTGCTCTGCACATTTTCTTGAACGCCTTTCCAGGAGATGAGGTAGAGGGTTGTGTACATTGTGTGCTTCTTCCTCCTCGGTCTTGTCTTGGAAAGAGCCTGCGAAACAATTCAGCTGCTGGGGAGGTGCTCTCCAGAGCTCCTCGGTGCCTGCCACCTCCTCAGATGCAGGGGTGCCCATCCCCGTGTCCTACCTGGGCAGTCGAGTCTCCTGTGGGCTGGTCCAGATGCCCCTGAGCACAGTCCTTCCTGAGGGGTTGACTTTTTAATGAAAACAGTGGCCGTCACTGCTCCTGATTGGCCCAAAAGCCTACTTCTCAGCAGGGGGTTGGAGACAGATTCCATCCTGGTTGGCCATAGAGGGTCCCCTGAATGACTGGAGAGCCAAAAGGACATCTTCCTTGCCTTTCCCAATAACGTTGGCATCAGCAACTTCACCAGGGCCGCTGCCTCCTTGGTCACTTCCCCCTCTACCTGTCCATCACCCCTTGTTTCTGACCTGGAAAGTGCAGGCTTCGGGCAGTGCTCTAGCCTTTGCCCGCAGCTGAGCTGTCCTTCCAGAAGAGAGTCCTCTGAGGACTCGCAGAGAACCTGAATGTGCCTTGTGCCCTGTGGGCCAGTGGCTCAGTGTGAGACCCCAGTGCTGTGGCCAGGCGTCCTGACCCGGAGGCAGCACGCCCAGAGTAGTGTGTGCCCACCCATCAGCCTTCTCTGTGACCTCACAGCCACCCACTGCCCTCCCAGATCCAGAGTGTCCCTTCTAAGAGGCCTGGGGCAGAACAGCACGTCCCAACGCACCTGCCTCAGCCCGCTGACGTGACCTGAAATCCAGCTTATGTTGTCTCAGGGTAGCTTCTTCCTCCAAAGGAGAGGTTGGGCAGCACGGAGGATGCCCCAAGCCAGCCAGGACGTCACCTAGGCACGAGCGCAGCACAGATGGGACGTGCTCACTGAATCCAGCTAAAATCCCGCGTGTGCGCTGCCAGATGGCAAAGCCCGTAGGGCCAGGCTCTACCTGTCCTAGACACACCCAGGAGCTGGCCAGAGGGTCCCCTGGTGTGCGCCAGAGGAATCGATGACCAGAGCAGGAAAATCCCCCAAAATCATCAACTAGGAACAGCCCAGACCTGGCTCCCAAGTCGGCTCAGAAAATGACCACTTAGTGACATAAGAAAGACCGATGGCTTAAAATCTGTTTCTCAGCACAAAAACCCGGTGCGGAACCAGCTTCTCTGGCTTCATAGCCACGTGGAAGTGTAGCAAGAGAAATGTGAAGAGGGGAGCATCCGCCATCTGGGGACCGGGTGGGAGGGGGCGGGCGTCCTCAGGAGTGGCGGCGGGGTGGGCGCTTACGTGGCCTCAGCTGCCCGCTCTCTCCACAGGGTTTCCAAGGCAAGACTGGCCCTCCAGGCCCGCCCGGTGTGGTCGGCCCTCAGGTGAGACCCAGCATCCTGGTCCTGGGTATCGGGTGTCCCCCAGCCGTGTGGGAGGAGAACCCAGGCTCAGCGTCAGCTCCCCGATTCTGAAGGCGAACGTGCCACTAAGGGAGGAGCTGAATTCCTGGGGTGCATGCTAACAGCCAGAGATTTGCCACACAGGAAGACACCCCAAGAGAAAGAGCCAGGTTTCCTGGGTGTGCAGCGTGGGTCCAGCAGGAAGAGCCAGCGTGGCCAGCCTAGGAGCCCAGCTTTCCCCAGTGCAGGGCCGGCTGTGCCCACTTGTGCTTCCGTGGGTGCCTGAGGCAGCCACATCCTGCCACTGGCTCCTGCCAGCGCCACAGACCTTGGGTCCCTGTAGGGACCCATCAATGAAGGTGTGGCTTGCAGCCAGAACGGTGGCTTTGGGCAGCAATATGGCAGCAGGAGCCTGCTTCATAGAAACTTCACGCCTAATGTAGCGAGAAATAAGATGCTGGCCTGCTGCTGCCGTGGCACTGGGGTCGGTCGCTGTGGCCCCTGTGGCTTTTCTCCCCGGGGGCGGACATGGATGTCCCCCGGCTGGTTTCCCATTACATCCTGAAAGTGCACCCCACTGGGCCTCTTGAGAGGCCTGGGGGCAGGAGGAAGTGCTGGCCGTGCCTGGGGCCGGGCAGCGGGCTGCTTAGCAGTGTCCACCCAGCTCACTTTGGTCTGCTGCATTTTGGCTGAAACAAGAAGTGCAGAGGAATAGGGCTGGTTGGCTATTGGTCTTTGCCTGTGCAGTCAGGACTGTCCTTGGATTCTGGAAGAGAAGTTCCCCCTTTGCAGGTCACTTGAAACTGATCTGTGGTGCTCACTGGTTTTCCCTTAGGGTCCCACGGGAGAAACGGGTCCGATGGGAGAGCGTGGCCACCCTGGGCCCCCTGGTCCTCCTGGTGAACAGGGGCTCCCAGGCCTTGCTGGAAAAGAAGGGACAAAGGTGAGTTTCTGGAAGCTTCATGTCAGGCTGGCCCTTTCCTGAGGGGCCTTTTAGGACTTTGTGTTTCCGTTGCTCCTTTCTGATGGGAGGGTGATCTCCCAAATGCCCTTCATGTCAGTGCACTCCCAAGCCTCGGATTCGGCCGCGCTTGGCTTGGCTTGAGCAGGGCCCGAGCTGGCCTCCTGGGGGCTGGAGTATAAAGAGCAGCAGCACACGGCATCAGACTTCTGCAGGCCTGCCGAGAGCTCTGCCCCCAGCTGCCACCCGCTCCCAAAATGGATGAAAAGCTCTCGTACTTCACAAATCCTGTACAGATTTGGCAGAAAGAGATCCTTGTACGAATCTCCCACTGCGAAAGGCTGAAAATAAACTCAAAAGGCGAAAAACTAATGTGTTTCTGTCCTCGCTCCTGCTGCTGGATCTCACTGTCCCCCTTATTAGCTCCTCCACGGGGCACCCCAAGTTGGTAGTGGTAGCTTGCTCTGTGTTAGCATGAAAATAAATTTCTCAATAAGGGACACAGAAGATACAACCTCTCCAGCCCCTTATGTGACCACATGCAAGAGTAACTTAGAGAATAGAAAGCAGTGCAAATACAGCAATACTGGGAAAACCACACACACACACACACATACACGGGTATATGCTTGAGTAAGTATGTACATGTGTGTGTGAGAGAGAAAGAGAGAATGAGAGACAGCGAGGGGGGGAGTGGGGTGGGAAGGGTATCTGTTCCAGACACACACAGCTCACCGAGTCTGGACAGCAGGCCAAGGGCAGTTGACCGATGGCTTGGGAAGATCCTTGTGCGCCCAAGTGTGGACCTCAGGGAGGATTCTGAAAGACGTCAAGCTGTAGTCTCTGTCGGGAGAGGGCAGGCTCAGACATGCCTCTTCAGAAAGCATAGGATTTCAGTCCTGAGGCCGTGGCCAGTCCACGAGGGCAGTACTTCTGACAGTGTCAGCCACAAATCCCTTAGCACCCTTCTGTCACTAGTCCCCAATACTAGAAGAGGTGGCTGACCTCAGCTCCTGCTCGGTTCCCCATGGCCCTGAAAGACTACTGGGGCCTCCATGGAGCCCAGGGACAGCCTCACAGAGTGGCTCCATTCCCTGGGTCCACGTGGAGCCAGCCTGGGTAGCAGCTTCCAGGCCTGGACAGGTGGAGTGCCACACGAGGTCCGGGGTTGAATCCCCAGCACAAGACAAAACAGAGAAAATTCAAACAAAAGGGAAGAAATTCCTCTGAAAGCCTGGTGACCAGGGAAGCCCCCAAACCATCCAAATTCCAGGTGGACGCTGATGTGGAGGCCCCGCCTGACTCCAGGAGAGGGATCTGGGCATCTGCGGCAGTAGGAGGGCTGCAGTCTGGGGTTCCAGGGTAGCTCATCCTTGCTCTGTTTTCAGGGTGACCCAGGCCCTGCTGGCCTCCCCGGGAAAGATGGCCCTCCAGGATTGCGTGGCTTCCCTGGGGACCGAGGGCTCCCTGGTCCGGTGGTGAGTACCAGGCCAGGTGGGGTTGGAGCAGGGCAGTGCCCACCCTGGGGGCTCTCCCTGGGTGCCCTTGGCCCACATTCCCACTGCTTTGCAGGGAGCTCTTGGACTGAAAGGCAGCGAAGGCCCCCCCGGCCCCCCAGGCCCTGCGGTGAGTCACAGCCTCTTGCCCTGTCACCTTTCTCCAGACTTATTGCACAGGTGACAGCTGGGAGGGTGCTGGAGCAGAGGGACTTTGGCAAGGATGTGGACCGCCTGAGTGACAGGGGATCCCTGGGGAGCCAGGAGTAGGCCCCACACCTGTGGTGGCCCTACCTGGGCCAGCAGGGGAGGGATGGGCCTGGTCTCTTGGACTCTGAGGACACCTGCTGCAGCTGGCCACCGGAGGCCAGGTGAGCCCCCAGCAAAGGCAGAGGCCCGTCCCCAGCCTGCCAGTCATGGCTCCTGCCTGCTGCCTCTTGAACAAGATGGTCCCTCCCAGCATTAGTATGCCACCTGTGACAGGTTGTGGTCCTAGAGAGCGTGGCGAGGTGGCCCCTCAGGTGCTCGCCCGCGGTCCCTCTGCTCTCAGCCGAGGGCTCTGGTGAGGGCGGGTGGCGTGATGCGAGTGCCTTAGGAACTCTTGGCCGGGTGGTCCAGGAGCCTTTGAATGAAACCCTTTTCCTGCCCCTCCCCAGGGATCTCCAGGGGAGAGAGGTCCAGCGGGTGCTGCTGGGCCCATCGGGATTCCAGGCAGACCGGGGCCTCAGGGTCCTCCCGGGCCAGCTGGAGAGAAAGGGGCTCCTGTAAGTACTGCCTCGGATCAGAGGCCTCTCGTTGGAGTGGCTGGGCTCCCTTCAGGGCCCAGCCTGTCCTTCCCCCGTGGTGTCCCCGGGGTACATCCCTGGGGCTTGCAGGAAGGGGTGCCATCCTACAGAGTGGTGTGTGTGCCCCGGGTGCCACAGGAGGGTTCCCTGCAGCGTGTGCGCAGTCCACTCCTGCATATGAGCATCCCAGCTTGTGCAGACAGAGCGGGCTAGAGGTGGCTGTCCTCTGGGGGGGTCCCATCCAGCCTGGGCCATGTGTGTGCAGGGCCACAGTGTCTGCTGAGGGGACAGCCCTTCCTGTGGGCCCACCTCCCAGCTGGTCTTTTTAGGACAAGGATGGATATCTGGAAGCTGCTGCTCCCTTGGTTTACCTGGGAGCACAGGTGGAGGGAAGCTGGCAAAGAAGGGTGGGGCTCCGGGGAAGACGGATGCCTCCTCTGCCCCCACAGTGGGCTGAGCTCTTGGTGAACCGAGTTCTGTAGCCACTGAGAAACCGCAGGAGCAGGGGGAGGGGTCTGGCCACCCAAACCTTGGTCTCTGTGAAGGGGCTCAGTGGCCACACTCCTTCCTAGCTTCCCAGGGGGCAGCTGTGTGGAGGGGGTCAGTTCCACCCATGAGATTCCTGCCACAGCTGTGCAGCCAAGGGGACAGCCTTCTCAGTTTCCCCTCCTGGTTCAGGAGGAACCTGGGCTTGGGGGAATCTTCGATGGCTGAGGCCTGTGTGCTGGGGGACATGAGTAAGCAAGGAGACTCCTGTTGCTCCGCTCTCAGTGCTTAGGGCTAGGAAGAACCGTCCGTTCCGTGCCCTGGGCAGGAAGCCCCCGTGTAAACACACGGGGGACATCTGCACCCTGGAGAAGGCTCTCATCACGTGATGAGCAATTTTGACGGCATCTGATCGTCTCCAACTGGATTCTATGCCAGACAACAGAAGCCTTTTTGGCCCCCTGTGCATGTGGAGCACACGCAGACCCTGGTGGGGACGGCTTGGCTCATTGTTTTGAGAGAGTGAATATTTAAGCAGAACCTTGCAAGAGCTTCACAGAGCAGGGAAAAGCCCACGAGTCCCCGATAGCTCCCCGAGGAGGAAAGGTCCCTGGAAGGTGGGAGCACCCCTGACTGCCTGCCCAAGAGGCTGCCCAGGCAGGCTTCCGTGGAGCCGGCCCCCAGCCCCAGCATTTCTGGCTTCTTTGGTGTGGACGTTTTATTGTCAGGGACCAAGTATGAGGGGTAAGGAGCCAAGGGTGAGGCAGGAAGGGGTGGGTGGGCCAGTGAGCAGGCGCCCTGCCAACCACGTGGAGCCGCGTGTGCGTGCTCTCCTTGTGTCCCCTCCCCAGGGCGCATGCCTCTTTCTTCATGTCTCTTGGAAGAAAGGGGTCCTGGCTGGGGTGGGAAAATGCATGTCACTCAAAGAGATGAGGTGGCTGGGTAAACGGCACAGCAAGAGCTTGGTGAGGATCATGTGAGTCACCAAGGGCCAGGAGAGGAAAGCCATCAGCCACGTGTACAGGGAGGATCAGGGACTGGTGTGTGTGCATGTCAAGTACCTGCATGTAAAAACATGTCTGTGTGCGCACACACGGTGTGCACACACGTAGTAGCTGTGCCTCACATTGTGCATGTCCTGTGAGGCGTGCACAGCTGTGTCCTTGTTATGTGTGTGCATGTGTGTTCTGTGTGTGTGAGTGGCTCATGGGTGTGCATGCATGTTAGTGGTGCATGTGTGCATATTCATGCTGTGCGACTGCACGTGTGTGTGTGTGTGCGTGCAGGTGGGTGTTTACAAAGAAGCCAAAGAGTGATAAAGCTGTTGGGGGCTGAAGTGCAGGCTGTCCTCCTGCTGGTCCCGAAGCTTGGCTCCTGCTCGAGAGAGCTGGACTGGTCACACAGGCTCAGGACGTGGTGGGCTGGGTCTGAAAGCTGACTCTGCTGCTCACTGGCCTCAGTTTCCTCGTCTGTAACGGGTCGGCCTCCCTAGGATGTATGTGGGTAAGGAAGTGATTCCGCAGCTGTCCGTGTCCCTGGTGGCCTGTTAGGACTGCCATGACAGCCGCTCGCCCAGAGCACCCGTGTCTGGCCCACAGGCCTCCCTCTCTGGGGTGAGGAGCTGCTGCAGATGCTGCTGTGAGGAAACCACAAGTGACAGGGATCTTCTGTCCTCTCCAGGGTGAGAAAGGGCCGCAAGGCCCAGCTGGCCGAGACGGTCTCCAGGGTCCTGTGGGGCTTCCTGGTCCTGCTGGCCCTGTGGGTCCCCCTGGAGAAGATGGAGACAAGGTAAGGAGAAGGCAGAGTGAGCCTTGGCCGAGCCTGGCCGGCAGGTGAGGTGGGAGGGGGGTGCCGGCCAGGACGCCGGGTGGAGGCTCAGCTCCAGAGCCACCCGCACTACACTGAGGTCTGGTGGCAGCGGGCGACTTTGAGGAGGACGCCCACAGAGGCCCTGACAAGGCCTGGTGTGCTCAGGGACCTGGAATCCTGTGTAGACCCGCCACAGCCCAGATCCTGCTCTGCCTGCCGGTGCCCAGGGCAGAGGAACACTCCCTGCCCCCTGCTGAGTGGTGTCAAGTTCTGACTCTCCAGAGCTGGAGTGAATGAGGTTTTCCTCAATGTCTGTGTTTAGATGTCTCCCCTTGATTGTCAGGCTCCGCATCACTAGGAGTGCGCTGTGTGGCCTGGCGCTCTTACTGAGCTCGTATCTATACCTCATTTAATGACGGCAGTGGGACTTAGCCCTTTGGCTTGGCTTTCATTGGACCACTTCTGGTGATGGCTCTGACTTTGTCACCTCTGCCTGAAGGGTGCCGGGCCTCTCGGGTGGGAGATAGCCCTGCCCTAACAGAAGCATTGGGGAAGATTGGATGCCTTCTTGGGGATCTCAGCAATGGCGTTACCCCCTGATCTGTTGCCACGCGGGTGGTCCAATTCTAAAGCAAAGCAAATGCTTCAGTGTGACGTCCCCATTGCCAAGTCTACTGACATTCTGTGCAGAGTCAGATCCCAAGCCTGCACCTCCCAGCCTGACATTAGAAAGGAAGTTGTACTGATCCACAGAAGTGTTTCCTCTTATGTGAGCCGCGGCCACCTGGAGAGCTGACTTGCTGTCACCAGAGAAAGGGATAGTGGTGAGCAGAGGACGCCCAGTCCCTGGGGCTGATCCTCTTTCCCCTCTGCCCTAGGGAGAGATCGGGGAGCCGGGGCAGAAAGGAAGCAAGGGTGACAAAGGCGAGCAGGTAAGCGCTGTGGCGGAGTGCCGGTGCCCCTCGAAATGGCCATGCGCCAGCGTGCCGGGCGCTGCCCTTGGTGGCCATGGGTGGGAAGGCCGATGGCTCTTTTCCCAGGAAGCTCCTCTGTGTGTGAACCTGTGAGTGTGTCTCGCTGCTGAAGCGTGAGCAGGCCACGTTCACAGGTCTTGAGATAAAGTGGGCTCAGTGCGCTTGCCCCAAGGCATCTGTGCCCTGCAGACCCTGCCCCGCGTGCTGAGGGGCGCAGAGTGCCTGCCCCTCCCACGTGCGGAGGGGCGCAGAGTGCCTGTCCCCCACCACGTGCTGAGGGGCACAGAGTGCCTGACCCCCCCACCCCGTGTGCGAAGGGGCGCAGAGTGCCTGTAGTGTGACACTGGTGGCAGCTTCCTTGCCATTTGTCATAACATGCTCATGTTGGAACTGAGAATGTGGACAACTTTCCAGAGCCTGTGGCCTGGATGTTGGACATCCCTCTGCTGAGTGGCAGTTTGGGGACTGACCTTGTGTGCATGTGTCCCCTGTACTGGTCCACCTGGGCTTGCGATGAGATTCACTCCTCTCTCGACCTGATCTGCGATCTGCAAATCAACCTGGATCTCTGTTTGTTCCTCACAGGGTCCTCCTGGGCCCACAGGTCCTCAAGGCCCCATTGGACAGCCAGGCCCCTCCGTGAGTATCTGTGGCTAATGACCTCCACAAGCCCTGGCTCTCGAGTGCTGCTCAGCCTCACCATGCTCAATTCTTACCTTGCAGGGAGCAGATGGTGAGCCAGGCCCTCGTGGCCAGCAAGGCCTCTTTGGGCAGAAAGGAGATGAAGGCTCGAGAGGTTTCCCTGGGCCCCCAGGGCCCGTGGGGCTGCAGGTAAGCAGGGTTTTCACAGGGCTGGGGCTCTACAGAGGGTTTTATGTCTTGCTGGGCCCACTCCTCCTGTCATCTTAAGAAAGGAGAAACTCGGGCTCCGTGGTGGGGATTGGAAGTGCTGTCACTTCCCAGAGCAGGTCCACTGCTCCCAAGCAAGCCATCTGTGTCCACACTCACGGGAAATGCTGAGCAATTGTGAGGAAAGAAAGCGACGTCCACTCCTGCATGTGTCCCCAGCACTGAGGGCCACCCGCCTGAGTGCACCCAAATGTACCTGTTCACATTCACCTGGGCGAGCAGGAGGCTGTGTCTTGTGTTTGCAAAGTCCAGCAGGCACACCCACAGGTCACATGCAGAGTTGGTACCCAGCTCTGCGTCCTAGACCATGGGGCGTGTCAAACGCTTTTAGATATTGTGGCGTTTTATTTATTTGGGAAGCAGTCTTTAGTTACTGTGTGGCATCCCAGCATATGCTGGACACATAATTTATCTGACGTTTCCCTGCTGCCGGCTCATTAGGTTTATGGTTTTATGGGATGCCACCATACGTGCCGCTGTCCATAAATCTTTGCATTCTTCTCTAATTATTTCCTCTGGCTAATTCCCGGCCTTGGTGACTGGGGCTGTGCTCGTGTGTAGACGCCAGGAGGCGCCCCCTGGGGGCGCCTGTGTGCACTAGCAGAGTGGCTCCTAACCACAGCTCCGTCTTCTAGGGTTTGCCGGGACCTCCAGGTGAAAAGGGTGAGACTGGGGATGTGGGCCAGATGGTAAGTGTGACCAGGCACCCAGGCCAGCTGTGGCAGCTGCTGCATGTGTTTGGGGAGGTTTTTTGTTTTTCTGGGCTCAATGGCCACTTCTTCTCCTAGGGCCCTCCTGGTCCCCCCGGCCCCCGAGGACCCTCCGGAGCCCCAGGTGCTGACGGTCCACAAGGCCCTCCAGGAGGGATAGGAAATCCTGGCGCAGTGGGAGAGAAGGTGATGTTCCCTGTTGGGGCAGCAGCTCCAAGACCCTGTGGGGGACCACCGTGTGTGTGCACGTGCGCGTGTGCCTGTGTATGCAGAGGCACGAGGACCTGGTTGGGTCATTCCGTCCAGTGTGCTGTGAAGCTTAGAAGCATATTCGTGAACTGGAACTGGGAACTCGGGCACGTCCGTCTGAGACGGCCTCCTACAGAATCAAACTGCACCGCTGGCAAAGCCCCGCCCCCTCCCCAGGATCTGGCCCTGGTGGGAACTTGCGCCCCCTCCTGGGAGGGCTGCGGCTACTCAGCTGTGCTCAGCCCTGGTCTTCTCTCATGCTGGGCCCTTGGCCTTCAGTCTGGTGGATATTAGAGCCTGGGCCTTTGAGACCCACATGTGTGTGCGTGTGTGTCCATGAGTGTGTGTGTTCATGTGTGCACATAGTGTGTGTGCTGTGCACCGAGGGCCAAGTCCCCTCATGCTCCTGGGCTTGCGCTGTCTTAAGAGCTGTGGATGAGCTCTGGAGGGGAAGGCAGGGCACACTTCAGGTCCCCCCACCCTTCCCAGAGCTTGCTTCCTGGATACAGGCCACTCGGTGGGAGCAAGCGACCATCATCCTCCTGTTCATGATAGGAAGGTTGGGGAGAAATACCCCACAGAGGAGTGGCCTCTGCTTCTGCCTTGAGAGGTGTGGCCCCCCAATTCCCAGCATGTCCCTGTCGATGCTCCATGAAGGTGGCCTGTATTGTCCCCTGCCTTGCCCTGCAGGGTTCCCACCTACAGTGCAGCCCCCATCTTCTCATAATTATTCTCCAAATCCCTCGAGGCCCCTGCCCAGGAAAGCCTTCACTGACCGTATCCCTCGTAGCCTGGACGCCATCTCCCTGTGTCCATCACCTGCCTGTGTCTAACACTGCTGGCCTCCCCTGCAATCCTGGGAGCCACCTGGGGATGGTGGCCTCTGTCCTGGCAGCCCGGGTCCCAGTGCCAGGCAGCAGGCAGGTGGAGCATGGTCTGTGCTGGCCACAGGACCACTGCTGCTGTCCTCCTCTTGACGTCTCCTTCTCTCCTCAGGGTGAGCCTGGTGAAGCTGGTGAGCCTGGCCTTCCAGGAGAAGGGGGCCCCCTGGTGAGTGTGTGGGCTCCGGGCAGGGCGGGAAGTGTCCACATGGGAGCTGGTTGGAAGCGCCATCCCTGCCTAGGTCTTCCCACCATGCAATGGGAGTCATGCCCTACTCTGCTGACTGGCCGCTGAGTCACACTTAAAAAGAGGGTCCGCTTGGGGACCTGACCTTGTGTGTTCATGCACGTGTTGGGGGCACACACACCTGTGTTTAGGGGTGTGTGTGTGTGTGGACCTCAGCAGTGATGCCCCCCATCAGTGGCTGCTGCTTACCTGGCCTTCTCTGGCACCTTGGCCTTGAGTGTGAGGGTGACTTGTCACCCCAGACATTGGGGACCAGACTGAGAATATACAGGCCTTCTGAGGTCAGGTGAATGTCCTCTGAGAGGCCACCCTGAATGTGGACCAGGTTTCCTGGCCTTCCTGCTACCCACTGTGCCTGAGAGTCAGGAACTGAACCTTGGGGTCCCCACTGCCTGCTGTCCGGTCCAGGAGCAGCCCCCCACTAGAGCTGAGCCTCAGAAAGCCAGGGGTTCCTCCGGCCCACCCAGAGGTGCTGGGAAGGGGCTGCGGGATTTGATGAGGCACGGAGCCCCTGGAGGCCAGCGCGTGCCTCATTCTGGGCCAGTGCTCAGTCAGCTCTGAGAACTGGACTCTGGCCATTTTTCTTCCAGGGACCCAAAGGAGAAAGGGGGGAGAAGGGCGAGGCCGGCCCCTCTGGTGCTGCTGGACCCCCAGGGCCCAAAGGACCCCCTGGAGACGACGGCCCCAAAGGCAGCCCTGTGAGTATCCTGTGGTGCCTGGTACCCTCTTGGGGGTCCCTGCCAGGCCCCCTGACGCGGGGGCGGGGCATATGCTCAGGCAGGACCACATGACTGCTGTGTGCCGGGGGTGATCGTTGAAGGTTTGGAGGGTCCCACACCAGCTACTAGGCACATGGGTGGGGATGAGCCGGAGCAGGCCTGCACGAGAAGCCTAGAGGATCATCCCCGTGGACGGCGCAGCAGCTGAGACACACCCACTAGCCTTTGGCTCTGGGCACACGCCTTCCTCCCATCTGCCCCGATTTGGCATCAGGAGGGGCTTCTCATAGCCCTGATCTGGAAGTCTGAGGTGTGGGCTTTGGTCTCAGCCTGGAGCTGCCAGGGTGGACGTGTGGGCAATGTGCCTGCCCCGTGTGTCTCCGGATAGCTGGAGGCTGCTGTCCCTGGTTGGCCTTGCCGCTTCCTGGGGTGCTGCTCGAGAGGGCCTCCTGGTGGAAAGGGCCTGAGGTGTAGGGACTGTCCCAGCTCCTGGGTGGTGGCGGTGGGGTCCTGAGGCGGTGACCAGTGGACAGGGTGTGGTCTGACTGCTGATGGCCTGGGCCTGCCTCTCTCTTCTCTTCAGGGTCCAGTTGGTTTTCCTGGAGATCCTGGCCCTCCTGGAGAGCCTGGCCCTGCGGTAGGTGCTCAAGGAAGTCCAGTCTCTTAGACCCTCCAGTCCCTGTCCCCATGGTCCCTCTGTCCCCACAGCCCTTGTCCCCCCATGGCCCCTGTCTCCACAGCCCTGTCCCCACAGCCTCTCTGCCCCCATGGCCCCTATCCCTGTAGCCCCTGTGCCTCTGTGGCCCCTGTCCCCACAGCCCCTGTCCCCGCAGCCTCTCTGCCCCACAGCCCTGTCCCCGTAGCCTGTCCCCTCCTGCCAGCTGGCTCTGATGTTCTTTGAGGCTAGCTCCCTCCCTGAGGTGATTGCCCCCTGCTTTGGGGCACACCTATGCCGGCACTGGATTTATCAGGTTAGGGAGACTCGGGGGGCACTAGAGCCAGAGGAACTTGGGGCGCCTCCCTCCGGGTGACAGTGGGGAACCTGCCTTTCCCCTCAGGGTCAAGATGGTCCACCTGGTGACAAAGGGGACGATGGCGAACCTGGACAGACGGTGAGTCTGCAGTGCTGCTTGACCCCTGGTGAAGGGTCCTGTGCTTGGGGGACTCTGCCACTTGCTCGGCTCCTTCCTGGAAGTCCAAACCCAGGTCCCAGGTGCTGACTCTTGACTGTGGCAGGGACTCCGAGAGCCGCCACAGCATCTGAGGAAAGGCTGGACCCTGTTCCAGAATCAAGAGATGCCCACACAGTCCGACGGGGGCTACACGCAGCTCCCGGGGTCCACCCCCAGGAGCCTGGGGAAGTCCCCCTCAGTGCAGCACACGGTGCCGGGCGCCAGCCGGGGGCTGTGCTCGGAGGCCAGAGCTGGGTGCGGGGGCTGCAGGGCTCCTCCAGGGCTGGCTGTGCTGGCTCGGAGGAGGGAGGCAGCTGGGCTGGTGATGAAGACTCCCCAGAGGAACCCGAGTGCCTCCTCAGCTGTGGACCAACCCCGACTTGGGCGCCCTCTCCCGCCACCCCGACTCCTAACGCTCTGCTCTTTGTCTACCCAGGGATCCCCGGGCCCCACTGGTGAACCTGGTCCATCCGGCCCTCCAGGAAAGAGGGTGAGTCCCTGAGGAGGGAGCTGGGCCGGGCGGGCGTTCCCTCAGCTTCCTGCCGGTCCTGGGCTCACGCTGCTCTTGGATGATGGCCATTTCTGTGAGGCCAGGCCAACCATTCACGGTCAGTAGACCCAACCACCCACAAACCTGGAAAATGCCTGTCCCCTGGACAGACCTTCCGGAAAGTCAGCACAGTGGAGGGGCGTCTTTGCACACTGAACCCGCGGGTGGCTTGGGGACGGTGAGACTGAGCCTCCTGCGCAGCACCAGGGCAGTGCCCCAGGTCTACCCGGAGCTCTTTGCCTGGGCCTGGAGTCACTGGGACCCAGTCTGAGAACCTGTGTCCATGCTGACCAGCGGCCCAGGAGTGGCCGCAGGCCCCTTTCTCCAGCCCCGCCTCGACTCACTTGGGCTCCCACCCGCTCTGGGGCCCAGCTCACCACCCGTGTTCTCTCGCTTATTCCAGGGCCCCCCGGGCCCCGCGGGCCCCGAAGGTAGACAGGGAGAGAAAGGAGCCAAGGTAAGGAGCCCCGCACCAGAGGGCACAACTGGGACGCAGAGGTGGTGGACTGGGCTGTGGAGAGGCCAGGTGGAGCCGTGGGTGGTGGCCTGGGCGTTGGGGTCTGTCTGCCCACTGGTCTAAGGGAAGAGGAATGAGGCAGGGGTGCAGGAGTTGAGAGACCCCTGAGCTGAGGCTTGTGGGCAGCCCTTGACCTCTGAGCCCAGCATGGGGCCTGGTACCCAGGCAGTGGGTCTGTTCTATGAGTGAGTTCATGGCCAAGATCTGGGCGGGCACCACTGGCCTTCCCTTGGGGAGACTTCTTGTCATCAAGTGGGACAGCAGTGGTGCCGGTCCCCCTGGGAGGTAACTGCCAAGACCCACTGTAGTGATTGGCATGAGCAGCGGAGATGGGATCACTTGGCTTAGGAAATCAGTGGGGTGGCCATGGGCCAGGCAGCCACCGGGAGGAAGGTGGGAAGCCTTGGGGGCAGCCCCGGATATCTGGGGGCCACCCAGGGTTTCTGAGCAGGTGTCCTGGGCCAGGTGCCTGGAGCAGCTGAGCACCCAAGTCCCATTTCCTCTGCAGGGAGAAGCTGGCTTGGAAGGCCCTCCTGGGAAGACTGGCCCCATTGGCCCCCAGGGGGCCCCTGGGAAGCCTGGGCCAGACGGCCTGCGTGGGATCCCTGGCCCTGTGGTGAGTGGACTGGGCAGGCCAGGAAGGGGGAGGAGGGTTGCCAAGAGCAGGACCAGCGGTGCCGGCTCACACCGGGGGTCTCCATTTCAGGGTGAACAAGGTCTCCCAGGATCCCCAGGCCCTGACGGGCCACCTGGCCCCATGGTGAGTGACATCCCTGCAGTGTGTATGGTGGGGGTGGGTGTAGGGGATTGGCCACCAGAAGACCCTGGGATGAGGACTCTGATCTCTCTGCCTCCTCCTGCAGGGTCCTCCAGGACTTCCTGGCCTCAAGGGAGATTCTGGACCCAAAGGTGAAAAGGTGAGTAGGGCCTTCAGCAGTGGTCCTGGCTCAAGCCCAGCAAGTCTCAGTCTGCACCCTGCGGCCTGCTGTGGCCCAGAGTGCCTGGCGGAGAGAGCAGGAAGGATACACACAGCCTTCAAGGCTTGTCCTGCCTTCAGGGCCCCAGGAGACGTGGATAGCTCCTCAGAGACCCTTGCCTTGCAGAATGACCAGAACCTTCTGGCTGGGCACAGAGGTCCTGGCTGGAGGGCATCCAGGACCAAGGCAGTAGGCGCTCGCTCAGGACACATCCACACCCGTGCTGCGGGGTGGCACTGGGCTGGGCAGCATTACTCTTGGTGGTGACCTCTTCCTCCACTTACGTTCATTTACAAACATCAAGCTCACCGCCAGCGGTGGTACCTGGAGAAGGCAGCGGGCTCGCTCCTCTCCCCGCATCTGCCACCAGCTCACCGCTCCCCCCACGCCCTGCAGAGTGGAAGCTGGAGGGACCCTTCCAGGGCTCTCCTGGGGCTCGTGGGGAGCAAACCCACGTACAGAGCAGGAATTGTCCCATTGTCCTTTCAAGATGTGACGAGGGATTATAGCATCCAGTTCTCTGTAGCCCCGCTTCTGGTACAAGTTTAGTTTTAGGTCTTTATAGGGAAAAGCGTGTGTTTCCTCTGCATGATTGGAAGGCATGTGAAGAGCCACACGGTATTGCTCAGAGAAGCCCTTTGTCACCGGTTCCCGTGTCTGGGTCTGCATGTCTGTCTCTTGGGGGTGGTTCTCGTCAGACCTGGCACCCAATGTGTCTTTTGAAATTATTTCCACTCCTGCAGTCATTGATGGTGACACGGTGACTCATGCCCCGGGCATAGCTGTGCCACCGCATTCCTAGGCCTGCTAGGGTGACTTTGGGTAGTGCCACCGCACACAAACGCTCTTTCATGCCTATTTCCTGACAGGGTCACCCAGGCCTGATCGGACTCATTGGCCCTCCAGGTGAACAGGGTGAAAAGGGAGACCGAGGCCTCCCTGGCCCCCAGGGCTCATCTGGGCCTAAAGGAGAACAGGTGCGTGAGGTGGAACTCCCTGTAGCCCCTGCTGTCCCCAGAGCTGAGGGCCATCATCGTCTCCAGGGCTCAGTCACCCGCCTTTCACACGGGGACAGTGAGGTTTGGGTTCACCCGGGTCCACGGGAGCTGGGCACACGGCTCCCAGCCCTGCCCTGGCTGCAGACAGGTGCCCCTCACTGCTCTGGTGGCTTTGCTGCGGGAGGGACTCAGAAGTCTGCCCTTCCCACCTCCCACTGATGGGCAAGAGCATGTGACCAGCTCGTCCCTAGGAGGCCTTTGCGACTGCAGCCTGTGTCCCTGCGTGGAGGGGAGTGAGTCACGTATGTTCGTGCCACCTTGCCCAGGTGACCACTCCAGCTCTCTGGACACACTGCAGCTCATTGGAGTTTGTACCCCCCAGCAAGCCACCGCAAAGACCCTCGCCAGGGGCTTCATCCCCTGCCATTGTGAGCCCCTGGGACGTGGCCACAGGAGGGCAGGAGGAGAAGGACCCAGGCCTGGGAAGGTGACGTGCACCTCAGAGGCAGAGGAGGGGACTCGGTGCCCCTGGGCATGGCTGTGCCACCACATTTCCAGGCCTGCTAGGGGTGGACTTTGGGTACTGCCACCACACACAAATGCTACCCTAGCTCTTCTCCCAAGGAAGGCAGCGTGTCCTGGTTCCAGTGTGGGACTCTCCACTTCCCCAGCTGTGTGACAGGCTGCATACCCGGGGACCTTGCTCACTTCCACCCCACCTTGTCCAGAGGATGGCAGGACATGGGGGCCAGCAGGGAGTGGCGAGAGCCCTTGAGGCTGGGGATGAAGCCGCACCCGTCCTGGGGCCTGTGACAGATGTGGACAGCTCCTCAGAGACCCCTGCCTTGTGCCCAGCGTTGTTCTGTCATGGCCTTGGCCGTCTTCTGACCACTCAGTGTCCCCTGGACATGACCACAGCCATGGAGGAGAGTTGCTCTGTGCATGGTGGCACGTGGCCACGAGAATTAGACACTCAGGGTCCCCATTCCACAAGGATGGCTGTCCTGTGCCCACCTGTCCCCCCCAGGTGCTCTTGGTGGCTCTTGCTGACAGAGGATGTCTGCACTGTGGTGCAGGCTCCAAGTCATGGACTCCTAAGAGGAGCCCCCATCAGGGGTCCAGGAGAGGCATGTGCCCTCCTGGGGGAGGCTGGCTGTGACCTTCACCACCCTGGCTGCAGCTCGAATGCCAGCAGGATGTCTTTGGGACACAGATCTCCAAGTGGAGACAGTGGGATTGGGTGGAAAGTGAGGGGGGGGTGCCCCGGTCTGCGGCACCAGGTGGTCAATGCAGAGAAGTCATTCTGCACCAGCGGGGCCTGAGCTTCATGGGAAGGAATGGTCAGAGGTCACACAGGCTGGACAGGGTGGGACACATGGGGCCCAAAGCACTCCCAGCCCTCCCCGCCCTGCCTCTACCTTGTTGTGGCAGGGGGACTTGGGGGACAGGACCATGGACAGGAGCAACAAGAGAGACCAAGTGTGTGACGGAGTGTTGGACTGGTCATTCTGCACTCCAGTGGGACAGGGCTGGAGCAGTCTAGCGTGGACAGGGCTGTGGGGCTGGGCACGGCCAACCCAGGCCCAGCGAGAAGAGATGTCTGCTCTTGTGCAGCAGCCCCCACATCAGAGGGCAGCTGCCTGCACTGCAGAGGGGCAGCCAGGGGCTTGGGCACCCCGAGGCCCGGCGGGTCAGGGCCCGCTTCCTCCGCCCATCCCTGTCTGAAGGCCTTAACTGCTCTTTCTGCTTCTTTTCAGGGTATCACTGGTCCTTCGGGCCCGATTGGCCCCCCTGGGCCCCCTGGCTTGCCGGTGTGTATCTCTGAGGGGCCTGGGGTCCCTGGGCTGTTCTGTGGGGAGCAGGGAGGCTGGTGTTACAGGGAAGTTACAGAAAAGGGGGCCCAGGGTTGACACGTTGAACCCGCACTGGGCTCCGGGAGGCAGAGGCTTAGGAGTGGGGTTGATGGCCCTGACTGGGGACCCGGAGGCAAGGAGGGGCCTACCTCTATAGCTGGGCACCCAGGGGCTGTGGAAGCTGTCTGTAGGCATGTGGTGAGGGTGAGGAAAGTTGTGTTTGGGCAGGGCCAGCCTGGCCAGGCGTGAGCTGGGCACCCACCCTCAGCACCCCAGACTGGGCCTCCCTGGTGATGGGGAGAGCCAGCCCTGCCGAGGCTCTCCCACAGCCCTGAGCCTGTCCTCACCCACCCCGTCTGAAGGTTAGGCCCTGGTCCATATGCCCAAGGTGGAGGCCCTGGCCACGGGCCTCTGGGTGCTGTGGGGTGATGGTACATCATCAGGCACTCTCCACTCTTGCTTGGAGGCCACCAGAGTTGTCATTTCCCAGCTGGGTGGATAGGCAGGCTGACCTGGGCTGAGCAGGACAGGGACCGGAGCAGCTTCCCCTGCTAACGCCTGACCTCTACTCCCTGCAGGGTCCGCCAGGTCCCAAAGGTGCTAAAGGCTCTTCGGTAAGTGGAGCTGCCTAAGGCCCCACCTGGGGAGCTGCTGGGGGAGGGGAGGAAGCAAAGTCCTGGGATGAGGCCCCTGCACCCCACCCTGCCTGCTCCTCCTCCTGTCTCTCCCCATTCCCCACTGTGCATCGTGACGTAAAGATAACCTTTAGTTTTTGGGTTTTGGTGTGGGTTTTTTTGGCACTGGGGATTGAACCCAGAGTTGCTTAACCACTGAGCCACATCCCCAGCCCTTTGCTTATATTTTATTTAGAGACGGGACCTTGCTAAGTGGTTGAGGCTGGCTTTGAACTCATCATGGTCCTCCTCCTCAGCCTCCTGAGCCACTGGGGTTATTCCTTTCGGTTTTTTTAAAGACAGAAATTATATTGCTGCATTTACTGGGTTTTCAAAATTAATTATTATTCTAATCGTACAAACGTATGGAGTGAATGGTGACCATTCGAATCCAGGTGTTCAGAGTGTGATGATAAACTCACAGCAGTTAGCGTTTCTGTCCACCTGAACATTTGTTAACCCTTTGATGGCATGTGGTCACTGCCTGGTCGGGATGCAGAGCGATGCTCCAGCACGTGGCACAGAGCTTCCTGCTCAAACCCGTGTGTGCTCACTAAGGAGATGTGGGTGCCGTGGACGGGTCCCGTGCTGTGGGGCACCGGCAGGTCTCCTCCGCCTCGCTGTGCTTGGCTCCAAGGTCCCAGCCCACGTCCCCAGCCTTTAGTAGTCGCTGCTCTGTCCACGTTGACTCCACTAGCATCACACACGAGGGCGGCCACGGGGCATTTGCCTTCTGCACCTGACAGTCTCCCATATTGCAGTGTCCCTAGCTCCACGGAGCCCCCCGCCAGCGATGGGCTCCCTGCCTTCGTGGCCGAGTCACACCCCTGAGCACACATGCCTGTGCTCTTTATCCTCTGGCCCATCGATGGGCACCCAGGTCGGCTCTGCTCTGAGCAGCACTGAGCAGCCGCCATGGGCGCGGGGCCTGTGTGTGCAGAGCAGGGTGGCTGGGTCGCAGGGTAGGTCTGCTCTCCACTCTTTGGGGAGCCTCCTCTGTTCTCCACGAAGGCTGTAGCTGGTTACACTCCCAGCAGCCGAGTTCGGAGCTCCCTTTTCTCTGCCTCCTCTCCAGGGGCGGCTGTGTTTATCTTTTGATAGTGGCCTTCTCCCTGGTGGGCTGAGACCGCGTGTGATTTTGATGGGCTTTCCCTGATACCGATGAAGGGCTGACCAGCCATTTGAGTTTCTTCTCAGTGTCCCCTTCTGACTTCTTGAGCTGCCCAGCAGAGCCGGCCCCCAGGTGTCTGGGCTGCTCCTCCCTCTGGGAGGACACTGGTCCCAGGTCCGCTCCCCAGGGGTTCAGCAGAGCAGAGCCCTGCCATCCTCGTCCCCACCCCCACCTTCACACTGGTTTCCAGACCCTTCTGGAGCCCTAGGGGACATGTCAGCTCTTGTCACACTCTTGTGACCAAGGGTTGTTTTCTGTCTTCTCTCCAGGGTCCCACTGGCCCGAAGGGTGAGGCAGGCCACCCAGGACTCCCTGGCCCGCCCGTGAGTAGCCTGTGACGTGGCGGAAGTGGTTGGGACTGGAGGGAGGTGTGTTCACGAGGCTCCTTCTGAAACGTTGTGGCACCCACGTGGCATGCCCAGGGCCTGTCACAGGACACGGCAAGGGAAATGAGTCACACAAGGCCACAGACAGGCCGCACAAGCAGCTCGCCCCCGGGAAGAGCTGCTCAGGGGAGCGGGAGGGAATCGTGTGTGGGGGTGCCTATGTGTGTGCGTTTGCTTGCCTGTGGGTGTGCGTGTGCATTCGTGAGTGTGTGCAGTGTGTGCTGGGCACTGGGTAAGGCTCCAGAGGTGCAGCGGAAGCTCCCTGTGACCTGGGGTGCGGGAGCCTCCTCTGGGCCATGCTGACTCAGCACCCGGGTCCTAGTGCGGGGTGCCTCCTGGACGCCATGTTTCCCACATCAGCAGGCCTTTATGTGGCTCCACTGTGTGCAGCCCCACCCGGGGCCACCGAGAGGAGGAGGGAAGTCCAGTCACTCTCCTGAGGCTTGGCTCCTAAGGCAGCCAGGGACAGTAGACAGAGGCGAAGCCCTGAGCTGGTTCCCGTGGCTCTGCAGAGAAAGGGACGTGCCTGGAGGGGACGTGCAGTGCAGGCAGGAACCTGCAGAGCAGATAGGCCAGGGGAGAGAGCCACGCTGCGGGCAGACGTCCAGCCAGCCCAGGACACCGGCCCGAGGGGGCCGGCCAACCAGGCCCTGGCTGTGGGGCTCCGTCCTGGCCCAGGACCTGCTCCTTCCCCTCCGCTCACCACTGCCTTCCTGCACCCCAGGGCCCCCCGGGTGAGGTCATCCAGCCCCTGCCAATCCAGGCGTCCAGAACTCGTCGGAACATCGACGCCAGCCAGCTGCTGGACGACGGGGCAGGCGAGAGCTACGTGGACTACGCGGATGGCATGGAGGAGGTCTTCGGATCGCTCAACTCACTGAAGCTGGAGATCGAGCAGATGAAGCGGCCGCTGGGCACGCAGCAGAACCCCGCCCGCACCTGCAAAGACCTGCAGCTCTGCCACCCCGACTTCCCAGACGGTGAGGGCTGAGGGGCGCCTGACCCATGGGTGCCCGGGCCAGGACAGTCACCTCCCGGCCTCACCATCTGTGGGAGGACACACAGGCTGTCCCCTTGCCAACTTGTGGAGGCCACAGGGTGAGGTGACAGGTCAGAGGAGGCCAGGGAGAGAGGCCAGGCTCCCAGGCGGGCCAGACCTGGATTCTGTCCCTCTTGGCCATTCTCAGGGGGGTACCTGCCTTGCCCTGAGCCTTGTCATTCCGGGTCTGCAAAATAGGGACAAGAACCTCTTCCTGTGAGAGGACAGGTAAAGGGGGCATTGCATAAGATGCCCGTGGCCTGGCACTTAGCAAGGGCTGGCCTGAGGTTCAGAATTTGCAGCCGTTATTGGTGAGTTGTAAAGAATAATAATCATAATATAAAGAGGAGACAGAGTACAGGGGCAGGAAGGTGGCAGAGTGGCTCTTTGTCCGGCCACGTTTATTTACACCTGTAGGTCACATTGGGTCGTCAGTACCATAACCACACTATTGTTTAGAGTACCAGGAAGGTTGCTTATTCTGCAGTTACATTTCACAGTTACAATGTGCAATGTCGGGAGCTTTGTGCAGCTCTCCAGAAGGTCCACTGTCTGAAGTTACTGTTAGGCGGGCAGCTCCAGGAGCACCAGAGCTTGGTGAGATATTGTAGTTATGAAGCAAGCAAGTTCCTCTATTCCCAGGAGCTATGTGCCTAAGATTAAGGTGGAAGCTGGTAAGACTTCAGCATGGAGGGCATTGTCATAGCAACCGGGCATCCTAGGCCTCTGCTCAGAAACTTTGCCATACCCTGAAGTCATCAGGGACCCCGGTCCCAAACACCGAACCCCTACAGTGAGTGGTCTACACTCTGGATCATCAGGAAATGCAGGTCTGTCTGGAGCCACAGGACAGGCACTAACTGAATGACACAGCCCCCATGACTGCCTCCTGGAAGACCCAGGGATGTCTGTGGTCCCAGGAGACTCTCACTCCACAGCCATGAATTTCCAGAGCTCCCTCCAGAACATTCCGTGCCTTCCCATCGTTAATGGTCCAGCTACCTTCCCCTGGTCACCACACACCTGCCCAGTGTGCTTCCAGCTGTAGCTCTGTCCTTGGTGGACACTCTGTCCCCTCTCTTAGGGGCCCAGCAGGGAAGGCAGCACAAGGAGGCCTGCATTGGTGGCCCTAGCTGCTCTGTGATGCCAGACTGGGGTGTTGAGGCAGTTTCTGGAACTGTCCGGGAGCAGTCCTCACAAAGCCACCTCCCTGTCTCTGAATCCAGGTGAATACTGGGTAGATCCCAACCAAGGGTGCTCCAGGGACTCCTTCAAAGTCTACTGCAACTTCACAGCTGGAGGGTCGACGTGCATCTTCCCAGACAAGAAGTCTGAGGGGGTGAGTACCCGCCTCGCCCTGTGGCCCAGCGGGCCTCCGTCTCACGGCAGGGCCAGGCCAGGGTTTGGGTGCTTCAGGGTGCACAGATTTAAGGCTGAGAGCCAGAAACCCAGAAGAAGACCTAAGTTGCTTTCAGAAGCGGTCTTGTGGCTGCGAGTGGGCACGAGCCTCCTAGGGCTGTGCAGGTGGGAGGACAGTAGTCTCTGCCTGGGGTTCCACCCTGGGAGCCAGCCGCCTTTCCCAGGTGACCTGTGTTCCCTGATACTGGCCTAAAGCCCAGGAAGGACATTTGACACAGGTGTGATGAAGTGACCCTAAGACATCCTCAGGAAGCTGCCGTGTCCCTGAGTTCCTGGTGCCAGCTCTTTCCCAGGGGACTCGCTCCAGGCCTCCTGAGGGCAATGCGCTATCCTACAGTCTGGGGGCAGGTAGCAAGGTCTGAGTCATTAGGCCATGAAATGCCACTTAAGTATTCATCTCTGTGTGACTCTGTCCTGCGTGGACACGCGTGGACATGGTGTGGGTGAGTGTGCATGCAAGGGGTGCGTCTGAGCAGGGGCCACTTTGGTCTGCCCTGCTGCTAGCTGAGAAGAAGACCAAGACTGCAGCCTCAGGGGACAGGTGCTCCTCCTCAACGTCCCCCAACACAGCTGGTGGGTGTCACGTGCCCTTTTCTGGAGACCACAGCAGGCTCAGCACATGAGCCCCATGCAGCTTCCTAAGGGCCTCAGGGCCTGAGCAGCAGTTTCCTGCTAAAGGGGAACACTTGAGTCCCCCCAGGGCCACTGCCCCTCACTCCCCAAAGCACTCCGCAAACAAGCAAGCACCAGCAGCCCCTTGGGTCAGATGCCCGCGGGCAGCAGCAGGAGCTGGAGCATGGCTGGAGGTTTGTGGGCGCCTGTGTTCTGATCCACCGTCCCCCAAGCTGACCTTCCACACCCTGATCACCTGCCTTCCCGGTGACAGACCTGGGCTTGGAAGAGAGACAGACAGGCAGTCGGCACAGAGACCTCCCCAGTGGAGGGAGATCTTCTTTCCTTCTTTCAGACAGAGGCCCAGAGTGACGTCTCTCCTCCTCCTCTGCTCTGTCCTCTGCCAACAGGGCATCCACTCCCTAACCCAGGGCAGACAGACCTCTCTGGGTGGTACTGGGCCACCGCAAACGAGCTGGAGCAGGTTTGAAGCAGAGGCTGGGGGTCCCTGTTCAGGGGGAAGCTGCTCCCACACCTGGGCTTGGCCCTGACAGGCAGATCTGGAAAGGAGAGTGGGGCTGGGCTCTAGGCAGGGCAAGCAGCCTGGACACCCTTTCCCCCAGCAGGTGCCCTTTTCTGGCTCCTGGGACAGGGCCAGCTCAGAGGCGCCAGCCCAGGCAATGACTAAGGAATCTAACTGGTGTCTCTTCACCATGAGTCCCGTGGGCTGGGTCCCGGCCACAGGTCCCTGAGGGACCTAGTCAACCCCAGCTCAGCCCAAGCTGGCCCGAAGGCTCTCAAAACTCTAGGGCTGGGCATGTGTCCCTGTAGAAAGGCCTCGCTCAGCCATCCACCCCCTCGCTGTGCTCACTGAGCCCAAGCCACTGGCCAGACCTGGGCACCTATGGCCACAGCCTCTACAGAAACAGTCCTCTCTCCAGAGCCCCCGGGAGGGGGCAGCAGCCGTCCCTGGGGTGCATGCAGGGCCTTGGCTTGGCCCTGTGATCCCAGGAGACATCCCACACAGCCCTGCTTCTGCTGTCACAGCAGACCCAGGTGTGGCCGCAAAGACCCACAGGCCCCAGAGGAGACCCAGCACACGCACACTCACACACCACGTGCACACACACCGAGCACGACACACCATGTGCACACGCAACACACACCGTGGGTCTGGCTGTCCCAGCACCAGCTCCTCGGCGGTGGGGAGGAGCGAGGTGCCCACTGCAGCCCCTCGGTCCTGGCTCTCACCCCGGCTCTCTGTCGTGCTCTGAGGGTCTGCCGTGTGCTCCTCCACCCACAAGCTCTGCGTGTGCCCACTGCTGACGTGCAGTGTGCGGCCTACACGGGCTGCGTCAGCCCTGGTCCCTGGACAGCTGGAGCTGTCACCCTGCCTGACCACCAGGGGCCTCCTCCAGGGGTGGAGGCGCTCCCCAGGGGACCCCAGGGTCTGGGGAGAATGGGGGACGTGTCCAGGAGACAGGAGAAGTAACCCTTTCATCTTGTTTCTCTCCCTCCCCCTGCCCTGCCCGACATGCAGGCCAGAATCACTTCTTGGCCCAAAGAGAACCCGGGTTCCTGGTTCAGTGAATTCAAGCGTGGTAAACTGGTAAGGTGGCCTCTTTCTCCTTTGCGGTTGCCACTTTAAACCCGCCCGTCTCCTATCTTGCAGAGTAAAATGGCCCGCTGGCCCAAAGAGCAGCCTTCCACCTGGTATAGTCAGTACAAGCGGGGTTCCCTGGTAAGTGGCCGCCTCGGGGCTGCCTGCTTGCCGCTCGGCCTGGCTCACGGCTCTGCATGGACGGCTGCCGCCAGGCCACACCTGCTCTTGTCCTTTTGGCCGGACTCCTCCATGTCCTGTGACAGTAGGCTCCGAGGGTGTGGAGCTCCTTCTGCGCACCTGTCCCCCTGCTCCCAACCAGAGCTCGTCCCAGCCTGGCAGTAGCTGATGGCAGTAGCTGAAGGGGTTGAAACTCAGGGTGCCACAACTGGGTATGGGCAACAAGCCTGGGCTGCCAGGCTGCCCACAGAAGGCACAGCCCAGGTGCCAGCCCCGAGGTCAGACCACAGCAGGACTTTCACAAGTCCGGTGGACAGAGCGAGTGAAGTGGGTCCTGTCCACCTAAAGGACGAGCGCTGTCCCCAGGACCTCACCACACTCACCCCGGGGGCTACCGACCCAGCCGTGCAGCTACGCGGCCAGGCCCTCCACAGCCATGTCAGCCCGTGAGGGATCCCTTCTCAGGGTGGACAGAGCTCGGCGCTCTTGAGAGAACCACGTGGGAGGTCCTCTGGCCTAGACGGGTGCCAGCTTGGACGGATCTCAGTGAGGCTGTGTCCGTGTCCCACAGGCAGCTTTGCCCCAAGCACCACGGGCTGCCAGGCTCCGTGCCCTTCTCCGGGGCTCCATGTGCAGCCCAGACTCCCTTTCCCACCCAGCTCTCAGGCCCAGTGGGCAGGACCCTAGGGGCCGTGGGCCTGCAGGAGCCAGCTCTCGGGTCCGGGCGTCCAGCCTGGGGTTAGCCCAGCTTGCTCGCTGCCTCCCGAAGCTCCTGTCCCAGCTCTGGACGCAGAGGCTGTGTTCCCCCGAGGACCTAGAGCTGCCCTCTCTGGCTGCCTTTGCCGTGTTCCCCTAAAGCCTCGTCCCTGAGCCTGGACACGCCTGGCTCCGTGTCAACGTCTCAGGCCTCAGATTCTAGGCACCCAGCCCCTGTTCCGACGCGCTGAAGGCCTGTGCTCTCTGTGGCCACGTCTGGCGGCCTGTGCTGTTTTGTCTCTGTGGACGCCAACCTTCCTGTCCCTTTCTCTCCCGCGTCTCTCTCTGCTCCACCCACTGTGCTGTTCAGAAAGCCCACCAGCACACAGAAGGACCTGAAGGGACAGCGTGGCGGGAGGGCTCCGTGGCAGCACCTGCAGAGGTGGGATAGGGCCAGCAGAAGGGCCAGCAGGGTGAAGCCGCCAGGCGAGCCGGCAGCTGGCCCTGCCCTGGTCTTGGGCCTTCTCCCGGGAGGCCCCGGTGCCCACTCCATTTCCTCACCCTGAGGAAGTGGTTGTGGAACACACATTTCTAGCCATCGGCCCAAGTGGCCTGCCCACCTCTGACCTTTGTCCTATTTCTCAGTGGACAGGGACAGAGATTCAGGGGGACCCAGGGGAGTCCACCTGCCTTGTCTCTGGCCCTCTGGTGGAGGCCACTCTGAGATGTGGGCCCTTTGTCTGGTTCAACCAGACCTGCCACCACACAGTGCCACAGAGGCCATTACAGCTCCCTGGGCCTCAGGGATTCTCGCCCTCAGCCTGGGCCACGTGCCCTGGCCTTCTGACCACCCGGGGCACCGAGGGCTTCAGGTCCTTCTGCGTCAGCTGCCCTGGCTGCGCCACATGCCTCCCTTCAGTCAGTCTCCTTTCCTCCCAGGAGCGCTGGACGCTGGACTGTGGTGGGTACCCAGCTTTCCTCCACAGGGTCTGGCGGAGGCCTCTGAGGCCACGGCATTGGCTCTCCACCTGGCGGGAGGCAGCGGGCCCTGGGCCTGTCACCACACACTCCCTGCTCTCTAGTCATGCCCCCACCTTCCTGCTGCCCACTTCCCACCCCCAGGCTCCTATGGAGTAGCCACCCACGTGCTCATGCTCCTCTCGGGTGCGCTGACACAGACAATGTGGAGCGTCCACGGCCCAGGGGTGGACCGCCAGTGTCAGACCTGCTTCCCCAGAACAGTGCCCAGGGCAGGAGGGGCCAGCCTGGCTCTCCCAAGAGGGTCTTTCCCAAGACGGGCCTCAGGGTCCTGCCTGGGCCAGGAGAGACAGGGTGCTGTGACCAAGGGGCTGAGGGGCATCTGCACCCCTGGCAGCAGTGACCATTTCAGAAAGCTTTGAGTTTGCAAAAGAGATGCAGAACCCGAGCCTCACCTCTGGGAGAGCCGGCACCGCCCCATGCCCAGGTGGGCAGACCTAGCTGGTGGTGCTGGAGAAGCCGTCCCTGGCTTGCTGGGGTGGGGGTCCCACAGGGAGGCTTGTGTGGCCAGGCCCCAGCCTGCCCGCTCTCCTGGGAGCCCAGCCGGTGTGGGGGGAGCGGTGTGCAAGATGCCATCCTGGAGCACCCCTGTGCCTCCAGGGCTGTGCCCAGTCACCCCAATGTGGACATAGCCCTGACCTGCTTCAGGCCAGCCTTCCTGCATGTCCCCCAGGTGGCCTGAGTCGCTCTCTGAGGTCTCCTGCTCCCCATAACCCCAGATTCTCACAGGCTCCCTGCCCAGGGCCTTGTACGTCCTGGGTTCCTGACAGCTACCCTTCCTTCGTTCACAGAAGTTCATGGGCACCTTCCTTTGCTGGCCTTGGAGCACAATGACAGGGACACACGGGCCCGGCTCCTGCCCTCTCAGTGCCCTATGTCCAGCCAGGGTGACAGATAGGACCCCAGGCACCTGGGTCTCAGGGCCAGTGCTGGACTGGAGGAATGCAGGGAGGGGCCAACACAGCCAGTGAGGGCCACTGAGGGCTGGAGCAGGGAGTGGGAGTGGCCAGTCCTCCCTGGGAGTGTCCAGCCGTGCTCCAGCAGAGGAGCCACGGAGGCTCAGGGCAGAGGGTGTCTCGTCCCACCTGGGAGTGGACACAGAGGCCCCAGGAAGCCTCCTCCCGCTCTTTGGTCTGCTCTCTGGTGCATCTACCAGGAGAGGCCAAGCCTTGCCCAGGTTCCCGGCACTCCAGCCCAGCCCTGGAGACGCCGCACTGCCCCTCGGGGGCTTGTCCAGATGGTCCCTGTCCGATTAACACGTTCAAGCCAGGCAGACCCTGCCATCTGGGAAGGAGGCTCCAGGATGGCATCTCTGGATAGAGGCAAGATGTGGGCTAGGAGGGTCCCCAGGCTGCAGCGAGGCTGGGGAGGGAGTGGCAGCCTCCTCCCATTCATACTCCTGGGGAGAAGACCCCGCCTTTGGAAGGCAGAGGGGAGGAGGTCAGTGGGTGGAATGAAGGGAGGACAGGCGCAATGGGCATCCCCAGAGGACGGGGCTACTTCCCTCAGGAGGCCTCCCAGCCCAACAGCAGGCTGGCTGGCCGTGGCAGCAGGCTCTGGGGCCCGGTACCAAGCAAAGGGGCCACTAGCCTGTTCTCTCCAAGCTTAGTCTAGGGAGGACACAGAGGTAGCCCCGGTGGGGAGAGGGAATTGAAGGTGGTCTTCCTGGAGGAGGAGCACCAGGAATCTGGAGGGAAGTAAGATGTGGTTCACTGTCCTCAGAAACCCTAGAGAGCGAGGTGCTGCCTTGGGGGGCATGGGGACTGGGAATCCCTGCAGTGTCCTCAGGGGAGACAGGCAAGGGGCGAAGCCCAGGGCCAGTGGACGTGGGGCTCTGGCTGTGGCCGTGTGCCTGGCCCTGCTGAGTCCACCTGCTGTCCTGCTGGCAGCTCTCCTATGTGGACGCCGAGGGCAACCCTGTGGGCGTGGTGCAGATGACCTTCCTGCGGCTGCTGAGTGCCTCTGCCCACCAGAACGTCACCTACAACTGCTACCAGTCAGTGGCCTGGCAGGACGCCTCCACGGGCAGCTACGACAAGGCCATCCGCTTCCTGGGCTCCAACGACGAGGAGATGTCCTACGACAACAACCCGTACATCCGCGCCCTGGTGGACGGCTGTGCTGTGAGTGCCGGGGCCCGGCCCCCCCCCTGCTTGGTGCAAGCTTATGGGGCACCTGGGCTGTGTGCCTGGGTGTGGGGACATCCCAGAGCCCCGGCCTGGCTGGTGTCCACGTGGCTTCCTTAGGCAGATCCCAGACAGAACCAGCGCTGGCCCACGGAGCCCCCGCAGCGCAGCTGGTGAGGCAGGCAGGCGAGAGCGTCCTCGGCCCCCGGCCCACACAGAGCCCTTCCCTTGGTTCCCTGGTCAGGAGAACTTTCTGTGGTCCCTCCTGGCCTTCCCGGTTCCCAGCACTGGCTGCTGTCAGAGCTGGCCTCAGTGTCCCTAGCCCAGGAGGCCTCCCTGAGCCCAGCTCCTAGAGAGGAGCATCCCGTCCACCCCCATCAGCTCTCTAAGCTCCTGGTGGCCTCGGAGCATCTCTGGATAGAGGCAAGATGTGGGCTAGGAGGGTCCCCAGGCTGGAGCGAGGCTGGGGAGGGAGTGGCAGCCTCCTCCCATTCATACTCCTGGGGAGAAGACCCTGCCTTTGAAAGGTGGGGAGGTGATGGCTGAGAACTGAGTAATCCGTGGTGGGAAACCTGGCTCTGTGGTGCAGCCCGAGCCGAGGAGTTCAGGTGCAGGGAGCAGCTGGCCGAGCGGTGCAGGAGCCAGGGGAGCGCTCAGCCTGGACTAGACCAGCGAGGGCTCCGCCCGTGAACCCCAGAGAGGTTCAGCATGATTTGAAAGGTCAAGACCCTCTCATTTAATTACAGAGCTCCCACGGGGGACTCTGGCACCCGCACGCGGGCCAGTCGCAGGAGGTCTGCTTGATGCATAGTGTAATAACAGCTCAGGAAATTGGAATTCCAGCTCTGGCCTCATTTGGCTGGGTAGCCTGATTGACGGGGCTGCTGAGTGGCTGGCCCTGTGGAGGGGCACAAATCACCGGGCAAGAGGGCCAAGGAGCTGCGCCACATAAATCCCGTTGTTTGTGCAGCTTTGTGCGCCCCCCGGGGCTGTTGCCAGCCCATAATGGTTATTTATGCCTCTGGAATAACGGGGTAACAGAGCAGCGTGCGGCAGTCTACTTTAAATACGCCCCCTCTAAGTGTGCTGATAATTGGAGTGGAGGGGCCCCATAAATCCAGGCAAATCACCTGCCAGCTCAGCACATGCTGCCCGTCCCTTGGGTGGACAGAGAGCAGTGCTGTCGCCATGGAGGCCTGTCCCTCCCTGCCCCTGGCGGGGCAGCAGAGCAGGACCGGTGGCCCTGGGGTCAGCTGGCTGGCTGGCGAAGGTGCAGCTCCCTGAGGCTGAGGTCACATGGCTCCCTGTGACGGCTCTGCCACCAGAGTCCCCCGAGGGTCTCAGCCTGGGGATCTCATTCGATTCCCAGTTGGGGACAGGTGGGAGCAGAGTCCAAGGAGAGGGAACTCGGCTGCTCCTCGCTGGCTGGAGGAGAGGGTGAGGAACCCCTTCTACAGGAGGGGCCGGGGTGCCACTGTCGTGAAGGATACTATGTCCAGCTCAGGCTGCCCACCCCATGCTTCTGAAAGCTGCAGAGGCACACCTGGCCTCTCCCTCCCTCTCCCCTCAGGCAGCCTTGAGGGGCTCCGACACCTGCTCGGGCTCTCCCGGCCAGGCAGCCCCTAGGCTTTGGCTCCTTGGAAGCTCAGCAAGGTTCTCGTCCATCAGTGTGAGTGCTGTCGAGTTCCTGAGTGACCCAGAATAAGTCCTTCAAGGGGCAGCCAGCAGATCTCAAGGATCAGAGTGTCTGAGACATGTGTGAAAAGTGCAGACTTTGAGTCCCTCCCGGGAGGGAGCTGCTGGGTCAAGGCCTCCGGCTGGGCTGGGGCTCCAGTGCTCCCCGGCTCCTGAGAGCTTGTGTCTTCTCTGAAGTTCTCCCCCGGCTGGCTTTGGAACTGCAGTAGGCGGGGTGTCCTGGTGGGGTGGGGCAAGGGAGCGTGGGCCTGGGGTGCGTGCAGGTGGGAGGTCAGGAGGCTGATGCGCGTGCTATGGCAGGACCCAGGCAGCAGCCCGCACCTTGCCCACTCGGTGCAGCCCGTGGCCCTCAAGGACATGGAGTGCAGAGAATGTGTTTGCTGTCTGTCGCTTCTAACAAGTTGGTCCCCCAGCCGTGGCTGCTTCAGACAGGAATTTGTCATTGCATTTAGTTCTGAGAGCTGGGCATCTGGGAGTGCCTTGGCAAGCTGGCCTGGCTCAGGTCTGGTGTGCTCCGGCTACCCTGACAAGCCACTGCAGCAGCCAGTGTGGCTTGCAGACACCAGCCCCGATTATTCATGGCTTTGTGGCCTGGAAGGGCCAGGCTAGGGTGCCAGCAAGGTAGGGATCTGGGTGGGAGATGGCCGGCTTCTTGCTGTGTCCTCATATGGCAGAGAGAGGATGAGGGGTCTCCCTGGGGGCACTCAGGGGGCACATGCCTTCCTCACCTCCCAGAGGCCTTGCCTCCTACCATTAGCCTGGGGGCGGGGGCTCATGTAGATCCGGGGGTTACACGCTCAGCCCTCACAGTCGGGAAGAAGGGCCTGAGGCCTATGCTCCCCACTCAGGTAGGTGGACAGGGCAGAGTGGGGTAATGTTGGGCTCTCTGGCTCAGAGTGGTCCTGGGACCTCGCAGGCTGCATCCTGGCCACGTTGGCTCTGTACTGGCCTCCCTGTTTTCCCCTTGGATGATTTCTACCAGGGATGGGGTGGTGGAGGGAGACCTCCTGGGCCAGATTCGGCTCAGAGTATACACCCAGTCTCGGTCTAAAGTGGTACAGGCCACTGTCCAGGACGGGGGGTGGGGGGCCACGGTGTCCCGAGGTCCTTGGGGAGATGCAGATTCCAGGGACCCCTGGGGGTAGAGGGGCTTGAAGAGGCTATAGACCCTGCCAGGTCCTACCCACAGTGTGTGACACATCTGGACTGTTCCATTGCCCTCTGAGGCCCACCCCCACCCTAGGACTGTGCAGTGGGTGGTGGGAGGTGCCCTGGGTCGCAGAGTGTGGGGGCGGGTCTGCCGCCATGCGGCTCCTCACCAGCGGGCTGAAGCTGGGGGGGGAAAGGGGCCCTGAGCCTGGTTCTGGGGCCTGGGCCGCCCCAAGGGACCCTGGCTCTGACTCGCTGTCTGCCTGCGTCTTCCTCCCCAGACCAAGAAAGGCTACCAGAAGACGGTGCTGGAAATCGACACCCCCAGGGTGGAGCAGGTGCCCATCGTGGACATCATGTTCAACGACTTTGGAGAAGCGTCACAGAAATTTGGATTTGAAGTGGGGCCGGCTTGCTTCATGGGCTAGGAGCTGCCGGCCCGTCTCTGAGAGCAACCTTGTGACCTCAACACGCCCTTCGTGAGTGTCTCGTGCACGACATCCTGGACAGTGAAGGTTTCTCGCTCCCCTCCCGCCTGACTTCATCTGTGCCTCCACACCACATGGCGCCGACCCCAAGCCCAGAGAGAACAAAGGGAAACAGTCGCGTCCCCACCCGGAGCCGAATCACATGACCTAGCTGCCACAGCCTCTCCATCACGCCCACGTCCAGCCACCCCAGGCCACAGGGAAGGCAGCGGGCCCACGACGCCCTGGCCCCCGCTCTCCTGATCCGTCACCCTGGTGTTCAGGACAGTTTGCAGGGGGTGGGGGTGGGGGTGGGGCTGCAGTATTTGGATATCACTTTTTAAGAATTCAACTTGAAGATATGTATCTGCCCTGACCTTCAAAAAATGTTCTGAGGCAAGCCTTGTAAAGGTCGCCAAGCCTCCGTTCCCAGCCAGCCTCCACACGATCCATGCAGAGGCCAAATGTCATCCGCTTGTGCCTTTCCCATGGATTAAAGGTGCTTATGTTTTTGTGAGTTTTAAGTAAATATTTGTATTGTATTGTTATAAATGTTAAGTGTGCCTGACTTTCAGTCGTGCGTGGAAACCCAGCCCCTGGCCCACTGGGAGAGCAGGCAGATGGGTGAGGTGTCCACTCCAGGTTGCAGGCTGGTTTGGATCGGCAGTGGGACGCCTCCTGCCCGCCTGTCAGGAATGTGCAATAAATTGGAAAGTCGCCCAGGTCAGCAGGAAGTGAAGCTGCCGCTGAAAAGCAGGTGCCCGGGCCCTTTTCCAGATGATTTTTTGATTAGCTCTGGACTTTTTTTTTTTTAATGGGAAGGAAAAAGGAATTTGAGACTCTGCCTTTTCTACATGCACTTAGGTTCAAGCAGGCTTAAATTAATTTTGATTGCTTCCCTTTTCCATTTTCCTTCCTGCCGAGCCTGACGGGAAGATTCCAGGGCAGAGATCCACATTCTCTGTAGTGGAGAATCAGGTGAAAACTGGTGCTGATGTTCACACTTCTCTTGTGGTGCTATGTGTCCTGAGATCCCCGGGGCAGCGACACGGGGGCCTGGGCGACCTCCTCCTCCAGGCTTCCCCATCCCAGCCCTGGCCTCCGCCAGCTCAGTGTTTGCCAGGGACCCTGAGATAAGCGCGGTCGCCTCCTCCCCAGTGGGCTCGAGAGCCGCTGCTTCTCTGGGTGGTGGGGAAGCTGCTCCCGAGGCCTGTCACCAGAACCGGGTTGTGCCTACACAATTTGAAAAAACACACGCAAAATAGACTTCCTGCCTCGTGCATGGTGTACCCACAGCAGGTTCTGTTCGGTGGCCGAATGTTTGTGGTGCTAATTTCTGTCTGTTTCAAGGACCGCGATGAAGCTGTGGGGTGGCCCCAGCGCTGCCCCAGCAGACCGAGAACTGTGCAGCGGACTCTGAGGCTCCCCGGGGCTGTGCGGCACCGCTTTCCCATGAAGCGTTTTGGGTTTCCACCTGCACAGGTCCTGGATGCAGGCGACAGCCGCTCTGGAGCTCGGGGCTGGAACGGGACCCTCTGGGCATTGTCCCTTCTCCCCGCTGTCCAAGGCAAGGGGGCCTCTTGTGCGGGCAGGAGGACCCCGAGACCAGCGGGAGAGGCAATCCCTTCACTGTGAAAAGCTGCCCTCCGGCTGCGTCCTTTCCTTCCACCGTGGGAAACGCAGGTGGCCTGGGAGTGAGCCTGGTTCATGCTCCAATGCAGTCCTTCCCGTCCCCGTGCGGCTCAGGAAGCCACAGCGAAAGCACCCGAGGCATAAAGGACACCACTGACGCCAGTGTCCCAGACGTCCCTGGAAATCAAGTCTCACTCTTGCCAAAGAAAAGTCTGGCTTGGAGATTTCTCGAAGCCGGGATGCCAGGATTTGCCGGTGACAACCATGCTCATGTCCTGTGAGAAAAGCCATATTGGAGGACTGCCCTGTGACGCCCGTGGATTCCGTCTAGGTCATGTGATTCTGTTTCCACTTCTCGCCCCATCCAGTGTGTCCTTTTATTCCGTCTTTTTTCTGTCGGTCCCCTCACAGTGTTGTGATTTGTACTGAAGTCCAAACCTGTCCTGTGCCTGACCAACTTCAGCCCCCGCGTATTGCAATAAAATTACTTCTTGTATTTGCAGACACTCTTCTGGAGTATTTTATTTTTTCTTCCCCACATATAAGGGGACAAACCTTGGTGAGAAGAAAAAACTTGGTAAACAGAAAACCTACAGGAATTGCTGTAGGGCACTGGGCCCCCACAGTACCCTGCCGGCTGGCACATGGAGCATTTCCTAAAGATCCAGCAGACATGTCATACGACCAGGAAAGGCGTTCCAAAGTATCTCAAACCTGTGTAAGCCAGGAATGATTGTAATGGTTTTTCAATAAATCAAGTTGACTGGTTCCACCGTGAACGCATGTGATTGGCTGTATTCTTTAGGCCCCCGCTGCATGACGCCAGTGTTTAGTGCACAGTCCCAGGATGGTAGGAACCCTCAGTGTAATGGCAGTGGTCACAGGAGGAGTGTGGCAGGGGCCTGGCATGACAGTCATACCCTCGGGAGGAGGGGAGGGTGTGACCTGCAAGGATTCCTGACTGAGCCTCAGCAGGCTCGGCCTCAGCCCGACGGTGTTCTGGGCTCACTTTCCACCCTGGTTACTCAGCACCCTCCTGGACATGCCTGAAGCTCTCCAGTGCTGCCCTTCCAGCCCTGTGGCAGGAGCAGACTCCCTGGCTTGGTGGCTGTGGGGCAGCATGTGGCTTGTCTCTGTCAATGCCCTTGAGCACACGTGACCCCTGCCTCTGAAGTCTGGAGGTGTGGTTCCCTCGCACACCAGCCAAGTTCTGCAAAGTGACTGCCTTGCTGGCAGGTCCTGGGGACGCCCTGGCCGCCGACCCTTTGAACTCCTGGTGTGGCCTGTGGGAACATCTTGCTATTGTAAGCCACCGTGGGATTGTGCATTGCTGCAGGTAACCTAGACCATTGGCTCTCAGAGTAAGGCCACAGGTCGTCAGCAGCATATCACCCGGTCAGAAGGGCCCACGCCCAGAACCCTGAGACCTTCTGGGTCAGAGGCTTTGGGGCAGGGCCTGGTAACCCTCCTTCACAAAGCTTTGGCACAGTCCCGTCTGTGAACACTGACCCAGACACCCCTGCATCTCAGAGACATGGCACTGAGTGGGGGCAGCTCCCGCAGCACCCACTCAGGGGAGCCTGACACATCACGGTCCCTGTTCTGGGGTCACAGTGCCAGGCTGTGGCAGCACACAGGCAAAGCGTTTGGTAACTGTCACTCACACCTCCGGAGCTGGGAGGCAGATCCCGAGCTATTAGCTGCAAGCCCTGGGGCTACAGATTGGGAAATAGAGTGAGGTCACCCACGCAGCCCGCTCCTGACTGCTGGGCAAGGGATTATGAAGAGAGAGAAGCTCTGCTCGGAGCAGCTGCCAAGGACAGCAGAGTCTAGGACTCGGGACTTGCAGGGTTGGAAGAGACGTCCGTTTGCAGATTGAGCAGTGCCCACAGGGACCGGCAGGTAGGACTCAGCCCTCTCGGATGGCAGCTGGGAGCGGCGTATCTGTTTCTCATAGGGGGTTCCTGTGGCACCTAGAAAATCCGTGCAGTTGGAGAGAGAGGTTTAGAAAAGACCCGTGAGCCGTGTGACCCCATCCGAGACTGACAGGTCTGAAGGCCCTGCAGGGGAGTCCCAAGGAGGAGTGGAGGCAGGTCGGGGAGAAAGGCAATGTGGGTCCAGGGGAGCTGCAGGTGGGCCTCAGCCCAGGGAATGACTGGACCTGCAGAGGCAGGACGCTGTTTTCACAAGAGGCCACCTAGAGAGAGAACCTCTGGCCAGATGTGGGAAACCAGTGGATGAGACTCGCAAAGTCCCTGGACCTGCGGCTCACTGGGGCACCATGTTGGGGGCAGGGCTCAGCCCTGAGGGCCATCTCCAGAGGTGCTACGCATGGAGGGTGGCACCTCCTCCTGGGAGAGACAGTAGGACAGGTGCTCGGCCACGGACCCAGAAGCCACGCACACGGACTCCTTTCCTCCTGAGGTGCAGGGCCCCGGACCTGGACGGAGCGATTTCTACCAACAGACTTAAGATTTCAATGGCAGGTCCCAGGTTAGAGGTCCACACCAGAGGCCCGCTCCTCCTGGGCCAAGCCCCAGGGTTAGTAAGAAAGGAGACCCTTGGGGACAAAATGACTCTCATCCCCTTGGGTCACAATGTGACTCCTCCCCTCTTCCAGTGCCCTACAGTTAAGCAGAGCTCATGGGAACCAAGTTTCTCGGACTCGGCCTCCAGAAATACTCCAGAAAGAGGGGGGTGCTGAGCTGCAGGCTCCTGAGCGAGGCCTGCAGGTGGCCCTGGGTGGTGGGCCTCAGAGCCCGCTCTTCCCTGAGCACCTTTCCATCTCTGAGCCAGCTGCAGCAGCGCCTGAGCTCCCAATGAGCGCCCCTCGGGTAGAGCAGCAGATGCGGCCAGAACCCTCACCCCCTGCACCCCGCAGTGCATCCCCAGTGACCCATCAGCTAGGAGCGGAGGCAGGAGGCCTGGGCTGTCCTGGAGGAGGGGAGATGCTCCCCGCCACAGGCTGGAGTGTCCCTGCTGCCCATCAGAGTCACCCAGGAACTTCTGCAGATACAGATTCTATGTCTTCTTGAGCACCCCTGGGTTGGGGGCACTGCTAGAACCTTGGCATTTAGGGTCCCCCACCACTGCCCAGGATTCTTTGATTGATATGGCTTGGACCCACTTCACTCCTGACACAGAGATAAGAGCCACCCCTCCTGCCCACCCAGACTGCCAAGACCAAGATCACCCTGCAGAGCCCAGATGTAAAGAATTCAAAACCTAAAATCAGACAACTAGAGATGCCAAAATCACACTGAATAAAGTCATGAAATACACTTAGTGATAAATACTTAATATACATACATAAAACATAAACATATATTGTGTACATATAATATAAAATATCCAGTGGGCATGCCTATGGTACTAGATTTAAATATTTCCACCACAGCAAAACCCTGTACAGAGCATTGGAAGGGCTCATCCTTTGCCATCTCAAGTCTCACAGAGGAGACGTCCTTAGGAACACCACTTCACAGAAAGCAACCCGAGGAGCTCATGTGGAAGCCATGTGGCTGACCAGACGAGACCTGTGCACTGCAGCAGCGTCCCCAAATCACAGAACACGGAAGACAGAGCCCAGCGCATGCTGAAACAGCCCCACGCAAGCCCTGAGGCCCACTGGGATTATGGACGCCCGTCTGGACTT